CTCCATTTCCCAAACGTTACTCCTCCTAATAAACAGACACACGTTTAGCTCCATCTCCTCATTATTCACCACCATCACTGTAATATTTCATCATCAACATTAACACACGAAGGTGATCAGAGGGGCGGTGGAGATCGAGTCTGCAGCGTCTGAGATCTTTAAAACGCAGAGTTAGAAAAGAAAATCATCTCACAGTGAAAGCAGCGTTTTACAGTAGAAATAAATGGAGCTCATTATGCTGGTAGTGAACTATGCTGCTGACTCAGCTGCCTAAAAACCATAGAAACGGACCTTAAACAGAAGTGAGGACCCTGTTGGGGTGCATCCTAAAGTTAGGACAGGATTTAGGAGGTTTAGTCTAGTTAGGATGTTTGTGTGATGCTGTTTTCTTATCTGGAGTTCATGATGAGATTATGAAATTAGGAACTGTTATTCTGTAATAGATACGGTCCTGAATTCAGTCGTCATGGTGACTAAACAGAGTTAGGATGTTGCTGTAATGCGGCCCCTGCTGTGTGGTGCTATGATGTTCGTGTCGTGTTATGAAGATGAACTACTCTCATATGGAACAAGCATGCTGTTACTGTGCTATTCTCCTCTGGTCTGCCTCCACATTTCACATGTGCATTTACTGCTCTCTCAAAATGACGCTATTAACATTCTCTCCATTTTCTCTTTTTCCTCCTTTGTTCCTTTGCTACGTGCTTATTTTAAATTTTCTCCTTCGCCCTTTCCGTTCTGCCCACGTTTTCACTTTTTCACCCATTCTTTCCTTTCTGTTGCACTTCCTGCTGCTCCGCAATGCTGTTCACGCGCTTTTGCTAATAAAGTGTCCTCACCTCCTCTGTCCTTAGCTTTGCCCAGTCCTTCTCCCTCTCCCTATTTCCTGCACTCCACTCCTCCATCCCAGCCACCTTTGTTTTACCGTTCCGACTTCTACAGGAGCCAGTCGAGGGCCCTTCCTTTTCCGCAAGTTCCCAGAATCCCTACTGACTCCATTAGAGACACCTTCCCCGACTCGCTGTACCGCGATTCAAACAATGGAGAATTTTTCTGCCGTCATAAAAATTCTTCCAGTTACAGTAATTCAGGCAGCGTTATAGACTCCTTGTACCAATGTTCACAGTTTCCCGACAAAAAGAAAGACAAATTCCTCAACTATGGAGAGGATTCTTTCCATGTTAGCAAATTTAGCGCACTGGATGCTAACTGCAACGTGGATTCGCTCTACTGCGACGACAAATACAGAACGAAAACCCTGAAGTTTACCGACTTTGAGAAATCAGATGAGGGCAACACCACCCCATACAAAAACATTGACATGATAAATTACATTAATGCAGGAAAGCTCAACGATTTGAGCGAAGATGCTAAAGAAGATGCTACTTCTTGGCTTGATGCGAGCGGCGCGAAGGCCAGTTTTGAAGGAAAAACAGAAAACGAACCCCAAATCCCAACCTTCCCCACCCTCTACCTCTACCACCCCAAAAACTGCCCCATGCATAAAGGCGCCCCCCCACGCTTGTCCCCTATAGGAGCTATCTCACCCCCTCATAGGGCTGGGCCTCTGTCTCCCGGGGCTGACGTATCCCGCCTTTCTTCACCTCTTTTCCCCCGCAGTCACACCCTCCCTGCTCTTGCTGCCCCGCTCTATTACCCCTACCTTTACGCCCCCTGCGCTCAGGCTCCTCTACCAGAGCCCAAAGTCCACTCTCAGCAGCGTCCATCACCACCGCTCTCTCTGAGTAAGGGATCAATCAGTACATCTCTTTTCATTCTTGCTCTTCTTTATCACCCTTTCACACTCTTTATTTTGAATCGATGGTTCGGCCAAAAATCTAATTTACACATTTTTTCCACCTCAAATGTCGATCAGTCAAGACATGTTTACTGTTGGCTACACAGCCTAATGTAGCCAGCAAGAAGTGGAAGCTAATTATCGATTGGCATCATGAAAACTGCATGCCTGAATTATTGCACGCTTTGCTTCAAACCGTCTCGAGTTGTTAATAGAAATTATAATTGTATTGTATAATAATTGTTAATTTTGCTAATAGACTTGCTTATGTGGTTCCGGATTATATAATATCGCTGCTGTCAGACCAAATCCTCATATCTCCAAAATGGTAACTTTACAGGAGAAGGAAAAAACATGCCTTACTTTTAATGTAAGTCAATGGAACCAGACATTTTTTCAAGTAATTTTGGGCTGTTTCTTTTGGTCCATTAATCTCGAAATTTCTCGAAAACAGTAGGTATTTTCAAATTATGTCAAAAACTGAAAAACGACAAAAATGGAGATACAAGGTTTTGGTCCGACAGCAGTGATATGATTTTGTGTGTGTGTATGTATGTATATATATATATATATATATATAAATCCCCTCCTTAATAACAGAGTAACTGTAAAGCTAAACAGTATCTGTGCATGTGTTTAGTATGTACAGGATGATGATGCATAAACCTATGCACAGTCAGGGGAAACAAACTGGAACAGCAAAGAAACTCTTGAAAAGGGGCATCTATTGGGGTTAGATACCCCCCCCCCACTACCTGGGGTAAGAAGCCCCCATGGCAAACTTTGCATCAATTTGTCATTGTTTTACAGAATTTACCATTTATATGTCGAATCAGTTCTATTTTTTTGCATTTAAAAATGTGTCATTAATCAAAGTACAACACTGAAAGTGCTCAGATAGCGAGCATATATTGGTCCACTGCCTTGATAAGGTCAGCACCCCGCTGACTGTATGCCACTGTTGGTCCACGCTTGGACCACCCAGATTAATTTTTAATCTCCTCAGACAGATTTTAAATGTGCACAGCCTTTAATTTAGGGACATTTAAAAAAAAAAAAAACTAAATGACTAGGTCTAATACAGAATGATTTTGTTGAAGATGTTGTTGCTAACTGAGTGCTAAATTGTAAAATTGAAATTACTGTTGAAATTATTTAAGAAACTAATTCACAGAGGATAACGGAAGAAAGAAATAATGAAGGAAAAACAAGTAAATTGGATTGTGTGTGGAAATTTGAGCGATGAAAAGTGGAAATTTTTGCAAAAAGCCAGTGGGCAGCTAGCTTTCCGATCCCTGCTATAAAAAGACCATTAGAACTGTTAGGCCACTACACCCGTTACACCACTAGTTTCCTGTAGGACACCTTTAGAGCCAGTTAGGAAACCATCAAATGCATCAGAACAGTCCTTTACACTGTGATATCAACCCATCAGGAAAGCACAGAGTAACATTAGGGACTATTGGACACCACCAAAAACTGGTTTCTATGATGTTTTCAGCGGAGATCGGCAGGTCAACTATTACTATTCGATTATTTTAGAATAAAATTAATAATATATATTACTACCATATATTAATTTAGAATAAAATTAAGGCCTCTATCAATTTAGGGCTAATAACATTAGCTAGGATGTAACGCTAATGCTAGCTAGTCAGTGAATAACTTTGAGCCTTTATGATGGAAATTAATCTAAATAATATTTCTAGGTCAGTTTGCTAATGGAGGCCTTTTGTCCCTTTCCTGGGGGGCACTTTTTGCCCCAATTTCTACATTTTTGCTTAAAAATCCTCTCAAATCCAAATGTACTGCTCTCTCCACAGCCCTCCCTGCTTCTGTTTATGCTACTTTAGCTATGCTAACGTACGTTAGTCCATGTTTATAGCTAACAGAGAGTCATACAGTGTCAGAAACCACATCATCAAGTCTATTAGAGATACTGAACAGCTCCACACGGTTTGAGGTCAGTGTGATGACCTAGACATGTAGTTAGCCCAGTGCTAATGAGTGGTTTATAAGCTTGTTAGCTACATTAGCCTTGTAGCTCAAGTGCAAAACAAAGGAAACAAAGTCAGACACAAGACATGTTTTGGCTGAACTGAATTCGTAGCCCCAGTGAAAATGGTCTACATTCGGTTTTTGTCCGAACCGTGGGTTTAAATCTCGCTGTCCGTCGCTCTCTCTCTTTCTTTTTCTGTCTTTCTTTGTCTTTTCTGTGTATCTGTGTCTTTGAATGTCCTTTTGTTTTCTGGCTGGAACAGTGCCTTCAGTGTCCGTCAGCGGTCAGAGATTCTGTGTGGTTTTCTTTGCATGGTACTCGAGCATGGACGTCCCTCACAGTGTCTCAGGATTTCTGCCTTGTTTTAACTGCTTTATGTTATTCTACTGTGATAATCACGAGACTCGTCTTTGATTATTGTTGCATATGAGCGTCACTGTATAGTGTTTTCTTGTTTATGTTGACTGTATTAATTATTTGTTGTAAACGGTTATACTTTTTGTATAAATGTTCTCTTCAGCATTTATGCTTTTCTGTTTATTTATCGTTTTTCCTGCTAGAAAAGGAATGAATGTTTCTTGAGAGTGTGTTTTTTTCGGCATGCATGTGTTGTTTGCACCTTTCCTCGTGTTATTGTATTGATGACGATGCTTAATTTCTCATGCATAAGTCGATACAGGTCCAGGTGAACTTTGTCATTTATAAATAAATACATAAATATGTACTGCTAGCATATATACTACGCAGAGCCACTGTATATCCTTTAATTATGCTATTCATAACTAAGAGTATAATTAGCAGGGCTGTAAAAATGCACTGGAAGTGATTCAGAAGCATCAATATTGCAATGTTATAATTGATTCTAATCAATTATACAAATATTCAATAACACATGCACTTTATTTTTGGTCAAAAATGTTTATTTTCAAACATAAAAATCCATAAAAGCTTCATATATTATTTTTATTATTTATATTCCACTACTGTGTAAATGGCTACCCCAATTATATTTGAATATTTAGTGTATTTTTAAGTCGAATCCAACTGAATCATGATGTGAGATTTCGTGATGCACTGAATCAATTCCTAAAGAATCGTAAAAGAATCGATTCGTTCTGTCTGATTTACACCTCTAATAGTTAAGCAGTGATAATTACAGTGTAGTTTTTGAGCGTCATTGTTTTTTGCTTCTTCTCATGATAGCGGTCCGTAGCCTGTCCTTCGCTGGTTCTGCGGCTAAAGGGGCGTGGATGGGCAGTGATGTGAGACCCCCGCTGAGAGATGGTGGGCTGTCCTCTCTCTGCCTGCAGGAAAAAAGAGGTTATTATACACTCACTGCTCGTATACATAGGCCCAGTCCCATTTCTTCTTTTTACCCCTACCCCTTGTTTTTGAGTGTCACCCTAACCCCTTGGAACTGAGCATCACTTCATTAACAGCTACTAGCACTGCTCTGTAGGCGACCCTGCCGGTCTGCAGTGACAGCAGAGGAGGGTAAAGTTCAGCTCCTCACTGCTGGACTTTAGTTACATTTAGGGCATCATATGATCTTCAAAGAGGGGGGCAATTATTTATTATCGCCCACCCCTAATTCTTCAGTGATATGAAGCTGAAGTCAGATATTCATCAGCTTCTTGTTCGAATTTTCCCGTTCCACCTTAAACAGAGCAGCATTTATATTCTGGCACTTCAGGCGTCAGAACTGCTGGACTATTTAAGGTGGAACGGGAAAGTTAGCTACCTAGCTACCAAGACATTAGCATGCTATTAGCGATTTTTTATGTTTGTTGTGAAGAAAACGACCAAAATACACTGAAACGACATTAAACTATGATGAAACAATGTTTATTGTAATTTTTTAACAGAGAAAATTCTCACATTTGTGGGTTTCTTTGGTCTCTTGTTCTCCGTCTTGCTGGTTTTTCTTTTTTTCTCATTTCTCTCTGTTTGGAGTTTTTGAAAAACCTCTGTTTGGAGGGTCATGTAGCCCCAACACTTCACCCTACCCCTCTATCTCAACAAGAATCAGGACACCCTACCCCTAGACAGGAACATGCCAAACAGAGGGCTAAGGGCTGAGTGGTAGGGGCGAGGGGTGAAATGGGATTGGGCCTTACTATACCCTATAAACGTTTATAATCGTTTCTCATTTTAGAAATTTTTTGTTATTTGTATAATAAAACTAACACAGTGTAGATTTAAATATTAAACATTGAACACTGAGACGTGATTTAAATGCTCTGGTCAGTATTTCAAGTTTTAGGCAACAACAAGAAGTTATTAAATTATAAATAATATACTGTACGTTTATGTTTATGTTGTAATTTTTATCAGCTTATCTGCTTTGAGATTTTATCACTTCTAAATGCAAAGCTGAATTCATAATTCTATTAACTTTATACTAATTGTAAATTTGAGCTTCAACCTGGATATAAATTTTATTAGAACTCCATTCTAGATGTGAATTTTATTAAAATTTTATTTTAAAAGTTCATTTTGTTAATTTTGTTCTGGATATTTATTTTATCAGAGCCTAATTCTTGCTATTATTTCTATTTGGGGAAATTAATTTTATTAGAACTTCATTCTGGATGAGAATTGTATTTAAATTTAATTCTGGGTTTGAATTTTATTATTTCATATATATTTTCATTTTGAACTTCATTTTGGGCATTAACTTTTATTAAAAATTAATTATGTTAGTGATTTTTATACAAATTTAAATTTCATCCCGGATGTTATTTTTTTTATTTTATTTTACATGTTGATTTTGTTCATTTCATTTTTGATAATAATTTTATTAGAACATCGTTCTTAATATTCCTCAGTCATTTTAGAACCTTGTACAGCTCTCTTCATCATTCTGGACACACCTGTAATTTTTATACATTTATCTGTTAACATTTCTTAAATGTTTGAACAGTAACTAATGTACTGAGATTTAATGTCTATGACTGAAAGTGTGTAACCTTTTGCTTTGTGTCTCTCAGCTCTGGTCAGTGCGGTCAGCGTGGCAGTGGAGGCCATTCTGGCCCAGTTCAGCTCCTCTAGGACTCTGGTGCAGAAGGTCAGTTTCACTGGAGCTGTAAAGCTGCTGTTGGAAGAAAACCTTGTATTTCCATTTATGGCATTTAAATATTTTTATATTATTTGGACACCAGCTGCTTTTTACAGTGTGTGAATCTTTTATGATGCATAGAACAACAGAAATGGTCTAAATTGCTTGAAATTAAATCTTTTTACACCGAATTGAATTGAAAAGTAAAGTTTTTTTGTAAAAATTGTAAAGTTTCCGTTTTTGAGATACGAGGTTTTGTTCCAATAGTGCTGATATTCTACATGCAGTAAGCTGCGTCGTTGCGGTAATTTGTTGTGTGAACCTTTTGGGGTGACTGGGTCTGTAAATATAAATGTTTGTCATTATATACGGTGGTGTGCAAAGGTTTTGGCGCCCCGGTCAAATTCCATGCTTTGTTAATTTTCTAAATAAGTGAACACGTCCTCTGCGGAGAACACACTTCTGCACATTTTGATTCACAATTATTGTTTATTTGCTGAATTCAACCTATTGGGAAACAATAAAGCATAGTTTGTGGCCTGTGAAAAAGTTATAGCACGTATTTTATTCTTTCCAGTATGTTAAACTAGTCAAATACATAGAAATTGTGGACTAAAATTTGCAAATAATGTCATACTTAATAGGATTTTTTAACTTCTCAACAAAACGTAATTGGACCGGGGTACAGTGGTTCACCTTATGACATTCATAAAATGACAGAGATACGAATAACTTTGCACATAAGTTTTTATTTTCTACTATCAGGTGACTATAAGTAGTTTATTATCTTTTCTGTATCTTTACTCTTGCTTTATGTATCTTTTTTTATCTTCCTTTGTTCTGTCTTTCTTTCCATATTGCTTGCACACACGTTTCTTTCTCCAGTTCCACTCAGTAGAAAAGGTACTTCAAGCGTTCATGGACATCTTTGCTTGATCTGTAACTTCACTAACCCCAGCGCGCCGTTCGTTCCCGCTTCTTTTTCTTTTCCTTCCATTCTCTGTTCTCCTCTCGTTCATGTCCAAACTGCCTCCTTCCCCACTTTTTTCCTTTCTCTTCTTTGATCCTCCGCCACTGCCTCGCCCGCTTCTCTCTCTCTCTCTCTCTCTCTCTCTCTCTCTCTCTCTCTCTCTCTCTCTCTCTCTCTCCCTCTCTCTCTCAGGCTCTCTCTGGAGACAGCAGCGTGAACCCGACGTTGGGCCGGCTGGTGCTGCAGTGTCTTTGTCCTGCGCTGCGCGATCTCCTCAGTGACGGACTGAAACCTCATCAGAGTGACCTCATCGCTGGCAGAAGGCCAAACTCACCCTGGGGTTTAGTTCAGGCCTCCACCAAACCAGGTGGGAGTCAGCGATGGGTGTGGTTATGTGAATGAAGGGCTACGTTTCATTTAAATAATGTTACTAAGGTTTTGTTTAGTTATTTAAAGGGGAAATTTCTAAATAATTCAGTGTTTGAGAATCATTCAGGGTGGTTTGGTGTGAAATGGTTCAGATGTCTTTACAGTGGTGGTGATAGGAACCAGGGGTCGCCATGACTACAACACAAATATAGACATTTTATTTACTATCCAGAACCACCAGTGGACCTACACGAGTCTTCTGAGTTTATATGGAATGATGATGATGGAAAATAGTGATAAATAGTGAAATCTGGAAATAATAAGTTTTCTTTGGGGACTATTTTGCTTCACAGCGCCCCGCATGTATCCCTCCGCCATAAAATGGATTAAAACAGGCGGATTCAAATACATTTTAATCCAAAACTTTAGCACGAAACTGTCGTGAAACAGTGTCACAGTCATCAGGCAGTGAATTCATAACCATTTCATGTAATAACTTTCTGTGACTTTCACACCAAACCACTCTGAAAGACCCTGTTTACATCTTAACCACTTAATTATGTAGATTTCTTGAAAAATCGGTGGAGTTCCCCTTTAAAGAGCCTGTATCCTACATTTTTCTTGTATTTCATTCTTTCCCCCCTGAGGTCCACTCACAGCATTTGTGTGGTTTTATGGACCAATAGCAGCCAAACCTTTTTCCACCCCTTTTTTCTGCTTAGAATTAAATAAGCTATTATTGCTACTGTGCCTTAAAAGCCCTATTGGAGCATCACAGGAGGTCTGGTAATGTTATCTGTGTGTGATTTGACTGGCTGATTTGCACAGGATAAAGGATCTATGTAATTTTCCCCAAATTACCACCAATTGTAAGCCTGTGTCGCTGGCCACCAGCAGAGGCTGACGGCAGTGAGGTGCCATAAGTTCAGGGGACTCCAATTCCCAGAAGGCCTCAGGCTGATTAGGCCCAACCTGGCACACCTGTGGACTCCTCTATTTAAGGCTGTGCCAAACAGCAGCCCTTTGTCACACCTTTGTAGAGGTTGTGACTGGTACGGTACTTAGCCCAGGTGGGTATTTCAACGAAAAGAAAAGAAAAGAGAGAAGGAAAAACAAAAGAGAGAAATTGCCCCAAAACTACTTAAAAATCGGCTCCAAGCCATACAAAAGTGTTTGTTACCCAAAGAGCAAACAGGTGAAACCTAAAGTCTACCTTCCTTTCATAATCACAGAGGAAGTGTTTTTGTTCTCATTAAATTCATTGAAGACCGTATTTCACGGGTTTTCTTCTCTGCACTTGGGTCCGCCTCCCTGCCGTCCCATAACACCAATAGCCTGGATCCAGACATAATCACGTGGACATTTACATCAGTGTTATGCAACAGGCAGCACACTCCGCAACAATAACAACATGCTGTGTGGCTAAATGGCATAAAGACATTATGCTAGTAAAGTGGCATCACCAAAAGTGTGGATTTCAGTCTCGTCATGAACTTGAGCATTTAAGGAATTGTGTCAAATTAAGCTCCATTTTAGCTGTTAGCCTCGTCTTCAGGTCACAAAAAAGAAAATAAAGGGCGGCGCCATTTTCTAGGAGGCTGAAGCTGCGAATATGGAGCCGACTTCTTGTTCAGATTTTCTTGTTCCACCTTAAATGGTGAAACAGTTACTGAGTCGCCAGAATGAAAGAAACTAGTGAATAGGAAGCCGACTTCAGCTTCGGGGAAAGCCGGTGTCAAAGTAGAAAGCTGAATTTTCCTGTTCTACCTTAAGTGGTGCAGTAGTGACATTCTGGTGCCTCTGGCTCGTCAGTAACCGCTGCACCATTTAAGGTGGGACAGGAAAATTCAAACGTGAAGCAGGCGAATAAGAAGCCGACTTCAGCCTTGTGCAGTCTAGACTGAAACACCTCGTATAACTTCAGTATGAGTGGGCGGAGCAGATGTAGATGTGATTGTTTTTGTGACATCACAGAATTGAAAACAGGCTGTTTTTGCAGCTTAGTTTTCATATATGGGCTGTATGGACTGGGAAGTGAACAGTGCGTTGAAAACTTTAACGTTTTTGTACTTTTGGACTTTTATTTTGAAAAAAAAGGATTTTTCCATATTATGGGGCTAGATGCTTGGTGTGAGTTGTATGCAAATTGAGAATTACACGTAACAAATGTTTGCGTACAACATATTCTCTTACTCCACTAGTTAGCCAGATTAGCAGCTTGTATATTTTTAATATATATGGTTGAGTTAAATAGTGATCTGCAGCGTGATTTTCAATTGCATTTTATGAAACATATAATGAAAATATAATTTTTTCAGCAGTTATTGACATTCTTTTTTATGTCTATCTATCTATCTATCTATCTATCTATCTATCTATCTATCTATCTGTCTATCTGTATTATTGATATTTACAATATATTTGATAACAAAGCATAACAAAGAAGGCCTTTGAAACAGAACCATTTAATTTAGATCAGGAAGATCTTTTGATCTTATTTTCAGTCGATCAATAAACCATCTTCTGTCTTATTGTCCTCTTCATTGATCCCGTGAAATCGATTGTTTAAAAATGCTGTTGCTCAACGTGATCACATGATGCATTAATGGCTTTTTGAATGCCTGTTTCATGACACTGGTTTCACAAAGTTGACATGGGTGCAGGTATTGCGACTGAGTTACAAGCGAGTTGCAGGATGCTTTATGTTATGCCACTCAAGTGCAATTTAGTTTCATGTACGTCAGTTGAGTATTGAACTGTTTGGAATTGAGCTTGATCTGCATTGGCTACTAGTATCCTAGTTCTTCTTCTGCTTGTCTTTAAAGTTTAAAAGGTCCCAGCGCCTGCTTACCTGCTTATGGTGGAAACAAACAAACAAATGAAATGAAAAAAACATCACTCAGTAACTTTACCTTTTTCTGCTTTTGCTTTTAAAAAATTGCTTTCATTGTAAAGAACTTTGAGCTGTATAACAAGTGCTCTTTAAGTGTACATGTAATGTAAATATTAGTATTATTATTAGTAGTAGCAGTATTATTATTGTTATCTGAATTCATTTTAAATTCCATTAAGATGTTTTATTTGAAATAAAAAACAGTAAATGGAGTGTTCAAAAACTGTTCATGTAAAAATGTGGATATTTTCATAGTAGAAATATTTAAACTGCCCATTCCTTGTACGCATTGCACTCTCGCTCGCTCTCTCGCTCTCTCTCTCTCTCTCTCTCTCTCTCTCTCTCTCTCTCTCTCTCTCTCTCTCTCTCTCTCTCCTCCCTGCAGTGTTGAATCACCCATCTGTCATCCTTCTGATTCCTCTCTCAGCATTATCCAGATTCCTCTCCTCTGTTTTCTCTCTCTCCTCTTCCTCTTCTCAGCACACTGTCTCTCTAACACTGTGATTCACTTAGGTTGCGCATTAAACTGCGACAGTGGAATAACTGCAGCTGAAATTGATTACAGTGTTGATGCTGTAATCCATTAACTATTATTTGACCATTAACTGTTAGTGAACCACTGTGTCTTCTGCTGTTTCCCCCCATTTTAGCTCATAACAGCATCTCTGAGACCAGTGATTTCTCCATGATGGAGCCAACAATAGAAGTCATATCGCCCCCTACACTTCCTGTAGTGTATTACAGTCTGTCAGAGTGACTGTGTGGATCATATGAACATTATAGAGCTTTTTAAATGAAACAGTAGAAGCCATATCGCCCCCTACACTTCCTGTAGTGTATTACAGTCTGTCAGAATGACTGTGTGGATCATATGAACATTATAGAGCTTTTTAAATGAAACAGTAGAAGCCATATCGCCCCCTACACTTCCTGTAGTGTATTACAGTCTGTCAGAGTGACTGTGTGGATCATATGAATATTATAGAGCATGTTTTACTTTTTTCCAATCGTTATTGACTTCACTGCATAGCTGCATTTTTTTTAGACAGCCATATGTCCATATGTGGAACAAGTTACATGGCTTTATCTTTTCTAAATTGCCTTTTGATTTCCAGGCCCCACCACCCAGGCCCTGTACAGTCTGCAGATCAAAGTAGCTGCACTCCCTCAGCTAAAGCACAACCGCCACAGGTTCAACTCCTTCCTGCTCGGCCTTCTCAAGTAAGCAATAAACTGCCTCAGTCTACGTACAGTACCTGTGAAAAGGTGTTTTTCATTCCAAAAACATAAATACTGCTTCCTCAGCAATCCAGTTACAGGTATAGATTATTAAAGTCTGCATAATTCAGTGTGTGAGATGTAAACAGAGTGATTCAGAGTGGTTTGGTGTGAAATGGTTCAGATGTCTTTACAGTGGTGGTGATAGGAACCAGGGGTCGCCATGACTACAACACAAATATAGACATTTTGTTTACTATCCAAAACCACCAGTGAACCTACACGAGTCTTCTGAGTTTATATGGAATGTTGATGATGGAAAATAGTGGAAAATCTGAAATAATACGTTTTCTGTGGGGACTATTTTGCTGCACAGCGCTGTGCAGATTATGTATCCGTCCACCATGAAAAGATTTTAAGGCAAAACTACCGTAAAACAATGTCTGAGACATTTCATGTAGGAACTTTCTGTGAGGGAGCTTTTAGAGGTGGACGTCTGGTTCCTATCACCACCACTGTGAACAATTCTGGCTCTGTAAGTTTCTCTAGAACAGAGCGTTTCACACCAAACCACTCTGAATGACTTAAATATTTAATTATTCATACATTTAGAAAAATGGGTGGAATAACTGATGAAAGATGAAAAGCTATTTAAGAGAATCCAGTGGAACTGATGGAAAGCTCATTTGCTCATTGTAACACGTTCTGAGTTTCTGCTGTTTATTTGCATTTTAGAAGTGTGATAATTGGGAACTGACAACCACATCAGTCAGTAAAGCATCGTTTAACTATATTATATATGATCATAATAAACTATACCAAATTATCAGAATATAATCAGGTTATCCAAATTTTTTTCTCCATAAACCTGAAATCGGAAGCACTGTTTTTAGGCTCTGGTCTGGATGAATGTGTAAGAAGTTGTTTTGATTTGCCTCTCCCAAAATAGCTAATGTAAATATGGATCATCTTTCATCCGGCCTTGTTTATTCTCATCTGCGCTCGTCTGTCTCTCTCTTGCAGCATCAAGCGCCTTGATTTCTGGCTTTCCCATCTGCAGTCCTGCAGTGGTGAGTGCGCTGTTGCTTTTTCAGTTAAACTTTATCTTTTGGAGAAATGGAAGGGAATATAACAGAGCATAGAACGTCTGTGTTCATATTTTATTCATATTCATGTGTGTTATGTTGAAAGTGGGAGTACCTACATACGTGCTGATTGCTTCCTGCTTCACATTAAAGCGATTCATAATAGTTAATGATTTTAAAAAACACACTGTGCAAAATGTTCTTTATTGATATTATTCCAATGATGTCACAATTGCGCTGCCACCATTTTGGTAGGCAGCAAGTTCATTCAGCAGTTATGCAGCTGTTTGTAATGAGATAAAGCCATAACTGATCCAGCGAAGGCAGTAAAACCCGTTTTTAAACACTTTTTAAATCTCATTTCAATGTGTATTAACTGATATATTTGAGTGTGCCGACTTGATTTCATTTGATTTGTTGCTGTAGTGATTAACAAATGAAAGCTGAAATCTAAACGGCTGAGGTTTCCCGTTGTGTTGCTGTTTTCGCGCCCCAAACCGCATACTAGCTCACTAAATAATGTGCAAACAATAGTGAATTTCCCATAAGAATTGCACTCATTAGTGCAGTAGGTGAAGGACGGAAGTGTGTGGTTTGGGACGCAGCATTAGATCAGCCAGTGAGACACAAACAGCTGCTCTGCTGTGCTGCTCGTTACAAATAAGTGCACTTTAAAAATATATTTTAACAAACACATTTCTTCATACATTGCAAAAATATATTTAATAAATACATATGGAATATATTTTTTCCATATGGGCAGACACAATGCAAAAAAAAAAGTTTTTCCCACCTGCTTTATCACAGTGCATTCTTAGACCCAATCCCATTTCTTCTTTTTACCCCTACCCCTTTTTTTCAAGTGTCACCCTAACCCCTTGGAACTCAGTTACAAGGGGTAGTGGTTGAAATCCTCCCTCTGAAATGGGACCCTCAAATAAAAAGAGCATCACTTCATTAACAGCTACCAGCGCTGCTCTGTAGGCGACCCTGCCAGTCTGCAGTGACAGCAGAGGAGGGTAAAGTTCAGCTCCTCACTGCTGGGCTTTAGTTACATTTAGGACATCATATGACTTCAAAGAGGGGGGCAATTATTTATTATCACCCACCCCTAATTCTTTAGTGATATGAAGCTGAAGTCAGATATTCACCAGATTCTTGTTCGAATTTTCCCGTTCCACCTTAAATGGAGCAGCAGTTACATTCTGGGAGCTTCAGGCGTCAGAACTGCTGGACTATTTAAGGTGGAACAGCAAAGTTAGCTAGCTAGCTACTGAGACATTAGCATGGTATTAGCAATTTTTATGCCTGTTATGAAGAAAAGGACCAAAATACACTGAAATGACATCAAACTAAGATAACCACTTTATAATCATAATTTTTTAACAGAGAAAATTCTCACATTTGTGTGTTTCTTTGGTCTCTTGTTCTCCATCTCGCCGCCTTTTCTTTTTTTCTCATAACTCTCTGTTTGGAGTCTCTGAAAAACCTCTGTTTGGAGGGTCATGTAGCCCCAACACTTCACCCTACCCCTCTATCTCAACAAGAATCAGGACACCCTACCCCGAGACGTGAATGCGCAAAACAGAGGGCTAAGGGCTGAGTGGTAGGGGCGAGGGGTGAAATGGGACTGGGCCTGAATGTGTTCTGAATACATAACTGTCGTAATGGAATATGTTACAGAGCACATTTAGGACAGTGTATTCAGTATTCAGCCATCTCTAGTTTTTAAGCTATGTGACATAATTTTGCCCATTTTCATAGATAACAGTATGTTAGTATGTCACAGAGCTAATAATAGCAGTGGCGGCCTTCCTGAAGCCTGAATTTTGTTCGGACTTTTGTCCATTTTTACATTTGCTTTAAAGCCCCTCTTTATTCTTTACTTTATTGTTTTTAACTATTATCTATAGTTTTTGTGATATTAATAACAAGCGCTGTTACCTCACATTTAAAGCTTAGGCATAATTCAGGGCAGCCAACCAGAATAGGGGTCATTTACATATCTTAGTCTTAAAGCAATGGTGACAAGAAGAGGTCAGAAAATAGTCATAGTTAAAATAAAATATGAGATTATTATTGGACTTAGGGAGGATAAAATACAAGGCTCACCATCAGACAGCTTGTTCTCCGTTTGGCACTTTTTAATCACCACTCCGGTCACCACCGCGGTCAAAAAGAGCGAAGTGGTCTGTTTTTCCTTGGGGGGGGCTCCAAAGTGTAGGGCTGAACCTCACTGATTGGCGATGTCACTCACCATTGCCAGTGGAGCCAGGCTGTTTATGTTGCCTGGGAGACACCACTGTCGATCATTTTGCATTCTGACACGCCCACACAAGTCTGAGCAGCAGCTTTTCATTTTCATTTTCATTTTTTTTAATCTACGATTAAATATAATAATCTATATATGTTTTTGCAGCACATTTTTAGGGGGTTTAATTGATTGTTTATGCTTGTATCACTACATACTTATATCTGTTCTGCTAGTCTTCATCTCCAAATCATTACAAACGTCCCTCTCGCCTCTTTTTCCTCAGATGTGTTGGAGACGTACTACCGGCCCACCGCCTTCATGCGTCTTTCGGCCACTTCCTGCCAGCCTCTCTTTGACGAGCTCCTCCTCTTGCTGCAGCCTCTGTCTCTCCTGACCTTCAACCTCGACCTGCTGTTCCAGCACCACCACCTCGACCCCTCTTCTCCTGACCTCACTCCGGCCAGCCACAGCCCGGGGGTGTCCAGACCACCCAACCGGGGCTTCAGCTTCCACCTTCTGCCCACTTACCAGTCTGAGGGCAGCGGTGGGCGTCTGAAGAGCGTCTCCAAGCAAGACCTTAGCGGTTCAGGTGGATTAAAAGCAAGCGGCTGTCATTCGAGCACCACAAGCTCTTTCAGTCCAGGCCCCGTTCAAATCCAGTGCAGACCAGTACCAGCCATCAATAAGGGGGAGACAAGCCCCCAGCTGCAGTGGCTGAAGGAGAAGGAGATAGAAGCACCCCCTAGTGACGGGAACGGGAACAGCCTCGCCGAGCAGGCAGGCCAGGCCCTACAGCAAGGCTGGGGGGCCGTGATGCGTTGGGGTGAGCGTTTAGGGCAGAATTTAGGTGGGTTAACATCCGTCGGCCCCTCAGAAGAAGCTGAAGGGGTTCCCACCGCGGTGAACCCGAATTCTCACTCCACTTCAGACGCCCAGAGTCCAGGCCAGGAAGGCCTGCCAGCTGACGGTGTTCCTTGGGGTTTTGGCCGGCTGTTTGGAGCCTCCAAAAGCCCAAGTAACCTGCCATCGAAAAGGTGAGCTAGGGACCGTGTGCATTTTTTTTGATTTTATGAAAAGTGTGCATGGTCGTGATGGACTTAAAGGGACCACATCATTGAAAAACAAATTTTGAACAGTTCGATTTTGTGTGTAAACACAGTTAAAGTTTCTCTCCCCACTTCATAAAGTCCATAGAGGGACAATAAGCTGAAATAAGCAAAATAGCTTCATTGTAGTTGTGATGTCACACTTACATAGGACCACCTCTTTATCCTGCAGCAGTTTAGCCCCACCCATTCATGCTGAAGTGATCAGGAGTGCTGTTACCTCACATTTAAGGCTTAGGCATAGTTCCAAGGCCTCACATTTAAGGCTTAAGCCAATCAGAATGTCATTTGCACATCATTTACATATGTTGGTCTTAAAGGAACGGTAACCAGCCTGTTTAATTCAAAGGGTTAAAAAGAGGTCAGAAAATGGTCATGTAAAAATGAAATATGACATAAGTGCACGCAGGCATTGTCATTGGACTTTTGGAGGAAAAAAAATAAAATACAAGGAAAAATGTATAATATGAGTTCTTTAAACATAGTTATGAGCATAAATCTAAACGGACCAAAACATGAAAATATGCTATAAGGGTAGAACAAACAAATGGATTCATCACAGTATTAATATTATATCATAATATTAATGATACATCTACTTTATGATGGAAGTAGTTTGGTATAGTTGTTCATAGTCATTTCTGTAACATACTCATTTATAGTAATAAGTCTGTGTGGGTGGGAGGTCAGAAATAGTGCGAATGTGTCCAGAAACTTGCTTTACTCTCCATCTGTGCATAACAAGCCACAGTTATGTAATATCTTTTTCTTTCTTGCTCTCTGTTTCTCTTTTTCTTTCTCAGGCGTCCCTCTCAGTGGCTTTCTCCTGGTATAACCGTTCTGACCCGTATGACTGGTGCAGGTCAGGCCTTTCTGCCTGAGAAGATAGAGCCTGTAAGAAAAGGAGAGAAGGAGAAAGTGAAAAATGAGGAGAAGGACGAGACTGGAGATCAGCCAAAACCTCTGAGGTAATGTGTTGATCATTCTTAATAGCTTTAAAATTCATTATGCTTTGTAGGGGTTTATATCACAATACCTACATTTAGAGTCAGTTATTCATTCAGCCTAATGAGAAACTGTAGAACAGACTCAGTTTATATCACAATACCTACATTTAGAGTCGGTTATTCATTCAGCCTAATGAGAAACTGTAGAACAGACTCAGTTTATATCACAATACCTACATTTAGAGTCGGTTATTCATTCAGCCTAATGAGAAACTGTAGAACAGACAGTTCATAGCAACAGTAGCTGTAAAGGATGCATTTGTGGGCGGAGCCTGGATAGATCAGTCTTTAAGGCTTTTTGTATGTGACTGATCCTACAGGGCGGTCAGGACCCTGTGCGATCACACTGGCACGGGGCCGGAGCTCAGCTTCAGAAAGGGGGAGGAGCTTATTGTGCTGGGAGGCGTGGACCAAGACTGGATTCGCTGTCGTCAGGGTGACAAGGAGGGCCTCGTTCCCATTGGTTATGCGTCGCTTATCATGTGACTTCGAGACTCCTGACTGGACGATGGGCGGAGCTTAAAGAGATACACACCAAGCATCGAGTTGATATAGTGATTAGAAACTGTGTAAAGTGTTCTCACCTCTGTTGCCTGGTTTGTGACGTCTCAGATGTTTTTCGCAACTCCTAGCATTCAATTACACGCATACATTACTGTATAAATGATGAATATACATAAATATATATATAAAATTAGATTCATACTATGAGAAATCATAAATTTGACCAAGATAGATAGACAGATAGACAAACAAGAACCGAAACCCAATTATCATTGTGTAGTGATTCAGTCCACAATAAATAGAATTCATCTCGTATTGCATTATGAAATATCCTATCCGTTATTATATAGTGTAGCCCAAATTTCAAGCTTGCTAATGGATTGTAAAAGAAAGCATATATACCAAAATACCAGCTACTTTTGGGGTAAAGAAGCCCCTTGCACTCTATCTAAAAGTGGCATCATGATTATATGCTTTAGAATAAGATTAGGGCTGGCCTGAACGGTATTTTACGGGCTTTGAATACTTGTTGGTATTTCTGTATCTGAAATACTCAAATTCAAAAATAATTTGAAGTATGCTTGTTACTGCAGTTCAACACGTGGCCAGTAGGTGGCAGCAGTGTATTAATAGTGATATCGCAAAGGCCACAAAGAATGTTGTGCAGTTTGTTGCACTCTGAAGTAAGAGGGCATGAATTTATGCACTGAATTTAACTATTATTTCATCTATTTTTAATATTTCTGTATGATTCATTCTGCCATTGTGGTCGACAGTGTATTAATGGTGATGTCTAATTCAAGTGTAAAGCTCTACATTGTTAGTAAAGCTGACCGTAACACCACTTAATAAGGGTTAATCTTATCTTGAGCTCATTTTTGTGGCTTCACCATGATGGTAGAATGACCCCTAATATTAACAATGACCATTCTATCAAAAGGCCTTTCCTGATCACATTCATTGGAATTTAAGCTCCAGTTTTTGTAACAACAAATACTCAAGTATTCAAATGATTTGGGCCAGCCCTAATTAAGATATGTTGCATAAATCCCAAAAATACATAGGCACTTCCTTCACTATATGGCCAAAAGTATGGACGCCTGACCACACCGTCATGAGCTTGTTGGACGTCCCATTCTAAAACCATGGGCATTAAGTGGAGTTGCCCCCATTTGCGGCGAGAATGGCCTCCACTCTTCTGGTAAGGCCTTCACTTCCATTCCACAGTAGTAGCACTTACAGTTGTCTGGGGCAGCTCTAGCAGGGCAGAAATTTCATGAAGTGACTTGTGTCATAGGTGCCGTTCTACTACAGTGCCACGTTTAAAGTCCCTGAGCTCTTCAGTACGACACCTGTTCAGTGTGGCTGAAACACCTGAACTAATAACTAAATAATTAGGATTGGTGTCCACATACTTTTGGCCATGTAGTGTAGATTATCCAACATGTAATGGCAAGGCTGTTTTCTTAAGCCTAATTCTAGACCAGAAAGACCCTCTAGTCAAGAAATCTCAGTAATTTAGTCTCGGATTAGATGTAATCTGTGCTGTGAGCCGGTTTCTGAGACTCAGACGAACATTTCCATATTTATTCCGATTTTAAAATGACTAATATTAATGCTTTCAGTCCCCCCATCTCTACCTACCCCATTAGCCTGAAGATGTAAAACTACTACTAGTGTCGTTGTTGTTTCTCTCAGTAGTGGCAGTAGAGTACTTTAGTGTGCTAGTGTGCTGACCATCCTAATTTGTTATTGATTTCCTACAGTGTGTTGACTAGTGTGGTTTAGATTTTATCACGTGTAGGCTCGATATCAATGACTATGCATATACCGTACTGTACTATTCACAAGACTCGTCGCCGGGGTAACCATATACGACTGACTGCATTATTCATTTTTAACTGTGTGAATGCCGAGTCTGGGGTTGTCATATTTTAAAGTTGCATGAACATATATCGACTGAAATATCAGTGTGCGTTCACGTCAGCGCGGTCTACTCACAAACCCACCTGCGCAGTGACAGGAGGTGGACTAAAACTAGCTGATCTAAGCTTAGCAAGCAGCAACGTGCCACCGTTATACTACATATAACCTTATGCATCAGCTGAGCTTCCTTAAAGAAATACTGAAGTCCATTTCAGCCTAATGTGTATCTGCTGCATCTGTAGTCTATGGTCAGTTACCACAGACAATGATTTCAACACGTCTCCCTGAGAAAACAACAGAAAACCCACTGACTCTAAACTCACTTACAGTAGAAGTCAGTGGGCAGCGCCTGAATTCTAAAAAATAAACATTTAAAATGACTTCATCGGTTCTTATTCAACGTTCCAACACAGTATAAGAGCAGCTCTGGTTACTTTCACTTTTCCTGAAGTTCTGGTTTCCATGGCGATTAGACGGAGCCTGTGAAAACTCCGCCCCTACCACTGTGCAGGAAATTCTTAAACTAGTCTCATATCTGTGGAAGCTCATTCCGGCCACTTGAAATCAAAATCTACCACCTAATTATAATTTTTTTCAGAGTAGAGTGAAATGCTGTGCCATTAATTTGAGATACTGTCTCATGATTTTGAGATACTATCTCATTATTTTGAGATAGTATCTCATGATTTTGAGATACCATCTCATTACTTTGAGATACCATCTCATTACTTTGAGATACTATCTCATTACTTTGAGGTGCTTTTTCATTATTTTGAGATACTATCTCATGATTTTGAGAAACTTTCTCATTATATTAGGATGCTTTCTCATAATTTTAATTTGTTTTCTCATTATTTTGGGATGCTTTAGGCTTTTGAAATAATGAATTGAAAATTTTAATAGTAATAATTGAAAAAAATGTACACATATATATTTGTATATACAAAAACATTATATATAATGAGACAGTATCTCAAAATAATGACTTAGTATGGCAAAATAATGGCCTAGCAGTCCACTTAATAATCAAAAAATAATAATTAGGTGTTGGATTGTTTTATTTTAATTGGTGGGCTTCCATACACTCCTGGGTAAAAGGTTAGAGACCACCAGGCAACAAACATAGGTTTAACAGAAAATGATGCAGAAGCATCGAGAGCTGAATGCAGTGTCACACTTTTCCAGTGTTTGGTGTGTTCGCTTCTTTTTGTCAAAGAAATCTGCAGGGATGTTCTTCCACACCAAAGTTCAGTCTTAGAAGTTGGTTGCATTTTCAACGTCTTACAACACACGTAATCCCACTGACAGATTTAGACTTCTATTATAAGTGAGTGTTGAGTTTTCTCTTTAGTGTTCAGGGAAATGTGAAATTATTGAAACATACTGTGTGCAGCGATCGCCCGTACACTCCAGACACAGCAGACCGAGGTTAAAACCGCTGGTGTTCCTTTAAGGGCTCAGAAAAGTATAACTGGGATGCAGCAGAGGATGGTTAGCCAAGAAGCAGTTGCTGCCACGGTGGCTGATGCTGATTGATGACTTTCTCTGGCCATCTGTGCTGCTCTGACATGCTCGTTTGCATGGATTTCAGCTTCATCTCTTTCACGCGCCGCCAAACGCTCAGATACCGTGCCAGTTTACAGCCTCAGAGAGCCGTGGGCAGCACACACAGCACCAAGCTTTCTCCAGAACTCTCTCTCACCCGCGTGTGGATGTGTAACTGTAACCTTCCTCTGCCTTTTTCAGGTTTTTTATTATATAGTAGGGGCGTAAAAATGCACTGAAGGTGGCCATGCATTGATTTTTGAATGTAAGCACTGAATATAATTGGTTAGAATAACATTTAGCAAATTATTCGCTTTTATTTTGGCCAAAATAAAAGTCTCAGGCTGTTTTCAGTCATAAAAATCCCCCAGAAAACCCTAAAAACTTGATATCTTGTTTATATTGCCTCTACTATGTAAATAATTTTTCCAGTTACATTTATGTAGTCAGGGTATTTTTAAAACTAATATTGAATCGTACCAAAATAATCAAACCAAATCAAATCGATTCGAATTGTGGTGGTCAGATTTACCCCCCTAGTGTATAATCATTTCAGCAGACACTCCAAGACTTATGAAATCAGTTTACATCTAAATTCTGCACTGGACGTTTTAGACATTTAGGGTAAGGACATGGCACTATAGATTAAAGGGGAAGTCCAACAATTTTTCAAAATTTCGATATAAGTAAAAGTTAAGACGTTAAGTTATTCAGAGTGGTTTGGTGTGAAATGCTACGTTAAACTTACAGAGTCAGAATCGTTCACAGTGGTGGTGATAGGAACCAGACGTCCACCTCTAAAAGCTCCCTCACAGAAAGTTACTACATGAAATGGCTATGAATTCACCGCCTGATGCCTGAGACACTGATTTACGACAGATGTGCAATAAGAGTTGGGCCTTCTTTAAAGTCCATTCATGGTGGAGGAATAAATATTATAAAACTATATAACAATTCTGAGGATGTGTAGGTTCACTGGTGGTTCTGGATAGTAAATGAAATGGTTATATTTGTGTTGTAGTCATGGCGACCCCTGGTTCCTATCACCACCACTGTAAAGAGTCTCTACAGTGCACCATTTGACAACAAACTACTCTGAATGCCTGTTTACATCCTTAGGAACTTTGAAAAAAATGGTGGAATTCCCCTTTAGAGGATAAAATTTGTATGGAATAATTGTGAATGCATTGTGTTGTCATAGTGGATCCCACATTTTGATCATTGTTACCTCAAAGGGAAAACTGCAATGATGTGTGGAATATTATAGGGATTTCAGGAATTGCTGGTGTTTTATAATTTTCTTGTTTTTAGTCTCATTGATATGCATCGATGCGTTTACCCTTGTGAAGCCTTGGTTTGGTGGAACAAAAAAGAGAAAAACAGGTATATTATAGAGTAACAGTAGTGTGGTATTGTTTTTCTTGTTGATGATGCTGATTTGGCTGTTCTATCTATTCCTTTCTTGTCTATCTCTCTATCTATCTGCTGTTGGGTGTGAGCGTGTGAATGGCTGTGGGGTGTGTGTGTGTGTGTGTGTGTGAGTATGCCTTTGTGTGGCAGTGGGTTGCGTAGCTCTGTGTGATTTAGCCCGCCGCTGGTAGCACACTTTAAACGCATAGTAGCCTGTACTCTGTTCCTGCAGTGTCATTCTACAGTCAGTCAGTTTCTTGCATGTGGGTGTTTGTAAATATACCCAATAAAATATTAAAATCCATACGTGCCTGAAAGTGTGTTCTGTTCGTAGGTCGTTCTTGTTGTTCTCGGGTCTAACCATGAGGGGGCAGTCTGTTTTTAGCTCCTCTCAATTCATAGCATGCCAAGTGATAGCTGAGACCACCTGCTGTCGGAAGAAAACCTTGTATCTCCATTTTTGTTGATTTTCAGTTTTTGACATAATTTGAAAGTGCGTGTTGCTCTTTACGTTGTATGTCAATTTCATGAAGAATGGACCAAAAGAAACAGCACAAAATGACTTGGACAAAACTCTGGTTCCATTGACTTCCATTAAAAGTAAAGCAGGTTTTTTCCTTCTCCTGTAAAGTTATTATTTTGGAGTTTCGAGGTTTTCTTCCGACAACAGCGATATGTTCTTCGCTTCATGATAAACAAATATTACAGTAAAAATGAGATCATGTAAAACAAATTGTCACTTTCTGTGAAAAAGGATATCTAATTGATATACGTCAAATTTTTAACTTTAATTTTTGCTTCTAAACTGCACTTCTAAAATACTGGTATATAGTATCACACTCAACTCCATCCTCTGAAACCACCGTCTCAGACCAGTGTTTATTCTAGCATCTTACTTACCTGCCTTATTACCCCACTTACCTGACTGTTACCTCACTTACCTGCCTTGTTACCCCTCTTACCTGACTGTTACCTCACTTACCTGCCTTATTACCCCACTTACCTGACTGTTACCTCACTTACCTGCCTTATTACCCCACTTATCTGACTGTTACCTCACTTACCTGCCTTATTACCCCACTTATCTGACTGTTACCTCACTGTGCTCTGTGAGCTCCTGTAACCAAAACCAAATTCCTTGTATGTGTCAGCAAACCTGGCCAATAAAGCTTGATTCTGATTCTGATTCTGATTCTCAGGGAAAAAGTCTTTTCAGATGGCTAGCATATCTTTTTAAAACTGAAATGTGTCCTTTAACATAAATTAAACGTTCACCTTACAGAAAGATGCTCTGCTGAAAAGAAGACCAACGTTTCACTGGGTTTATTAGCTCTAGGCTAAGTTACCTAAGCATTAGCTTAGCCTAGCTTAAATACATTAGCAAACAGACACTTACAGCTAACATAAAAACAGATGTAACAATGAGTTGACTGCCATACTTACATATTAAAAGAACATAGTAGCTGTTAAGCTAAGATTTGTATAGTTTATCTATTTAATATCATTTATTTGTCTCCTAACCACATCTGTGCTGACACACAGGATTATGGGAGATGTAGGCAGAAGGATACTTATATACTTCCTTTAGAAAACAGCCAAACTGAGGAACCTCAGCAGGCAGTGTTTTATACAAATGTGACATGCTTTAACATGCCTACATTTGCAATGTTCCAGACCTATACGTTTTGTGTACTTAATAATAATAATAATAATAATAGCGTCTGATAAATGCCATAAATGAAGGTGAGTCAGTTCCAGCAGACAGTCAGTGGGTCAGCGTTCCTGCCCTGCAGGTAGACTCCAGGTGAGAGACTGAGAGAGTAAGGAGTGGAGGAAGGATACGTAGTAGAGTGGAGGACAGTCATATCGTCAGCATTATAGAAACACAGCTGACGCCTGTCACAGTCCAGGTAGAGCCCGATTCTCCGAGGCTTCACCGCCAGCTCCTTTTCGGTCTCAGTGCCGTCCTCTTTAATACAGTAGCCTTGGTCATGCTTCAGCTGAAGCCTGATGTCTTTGTTTGTGTTGCTTATGCATCCTCCATCCACGCCCACGCTCCAGTCTATCTTCTCCCCCACGTCCACCTCCCAGTAATGCTGCCCTGAATGAAAGGTCTTGTGGGTCCTAGCCAGTGGCCTGTAGTCTTTCTGCCGGTAGAAAATGCCCTTTTTGGCTGTGCGGGTCACACTGCGGCCGTCAGAGGAAACCCTGAGGTACGGGTCATGGCAGTCAGATATGACGTTACGGTCAGGAACTGTGGAGGAAAGAGTACCAAAGAATTTACTTATTAAGGGCCTTTATTATTTTACTTATCTAGGGCCTTTATTATCCATACCAGCAAATGTTCTTTAGGAAACAATTTAACAAACCTGAAATCTCACCACATTTGATTTGGTTTGATTATTTTGAAATTATTAAGATTAAAAAAAAAAGTACACAAATGTGTCTGGAAGAAATTGTTTACACAGTGGTGAATTATAGACAGTAAAAACAGGTTTATTCAATATTTAGAAGATCACATTTTATATACTGAGGAGTGTCTTTAAATGGATTTTAAGACACACTGCAGATTCATACTGGATTAAAATCGCTCCACAATTATTACTGTCAGACTGTAAAACTACACACACTGCAGATTCATACTGGATTAAAAACACTCCACAATTATTACTCTCAGACTGTAAAACTACACACACTGCAGATTCATACTGGATTAAAATCACTCCACAATTATTACTGTCAGACTGTAAAACTACACACACTGCAGATTCATACTGGATTAATATCACAGATATTGTTAGTGATCACTTAAATTACGGAATCCAACCAATCCAACTGCAACAGGGCCTTATTTTCATGTGCAAATCAAAAGTAAGCAGCAGTTCTTACATATTTGCAGAACTACAGTAAATGTGGAATCAATTCAGGTCTGAATTGTAGTCAATGCTAAGGGTTTTTTTTTTTAATATTTTAACCCAATTTTCTCCCCAATTTAGTCGTCTCCAATTCCACCCGCTAGTTAGGACTCCCCCAATTACACGATACTATCAGCGCTAGGAGGGCGAAGGCCTGTGAAACCAGCCACCGCAACTTTTTGAGCTGCCGCTCACGCGACGGCATTGGACAGCCGAACGCGCTCGGAGGAAAGCGCCAACCGCCAGATCTGCTACATCAGCTAACAGACGCCTGCGCTGACTAGCATCACGCTGAGTGAGTGATCGGGGGAGAAGGGCAGCCATCCCACCCACCCAGAGAGAGCAAGGCCAATTGTGCTCTCTCGGACTCCCGGCTACGGATGGCTGTAGCATCACCAGGGATCGAACTCGTGATCTCCTGATGAGGGACAACGCTTAGACGGTTGCGCCACTCGGGAGCCCAGGGTTATTTTTAACAGTCACATTCATTTCTCATATAACATCTTACCTGGTTTAATGGACCCAAGCATCTCCTTCCATACAAAGAACTGGAGATGAGTCTCGTGGGGGCCAAGGAACAAGCAGTCAGGCATGACACTGAGGCCTTTCAGCCTGGACTTAAACCTGAAATGGACACTGATGTTACGTTGCAGTCAGAATTTATATTATGTTCCAAACACATTATTCATTTTACCGGGCTAATCTCCACCAATACTCACTGTGGTGACTCATTTTCATTCCTTTCTCTCATCCCCTCAATGATATCCAACCCATTCTCTATCCACCACTGAAAAAGAGACAGATGGAGTCATTGAAGCAGTGATAGATTTTGTGAAGAATATGCTTTATGTGTGTTAATTCTACTTTAGCAAATACTTTTAAAGTAAAAGGAACAAGCACTAAAACGAAATCTAATACTGGAATTCAGCTTTAAAGTAAACCTTGGCCAAAAATCAAATGCTCACAATTTTGCACAATGTAGTCGATCAGCCAAGACATGTTTGGTGTCTGAATTCTGCGTCTTTGGTTTTGCCCTGGAGATACGAGGCTAGTATAGCTAACAAGTAACGAACGCTTATATCCCACCCGTTAGCATCACACAAACTTAGCTCTAGCTGCATCAAGTTTCAGACAGACTTTATGGCACTGTATGATGTCCTGTTATTGATTAAAAAAATGTCAAAAGTGCAGATGCAATTAATGCTTGAAGATGTCTTGAACTTGCGCAACATCAGCATTATGCTAAGGACAAACTCAATAACAATAACAACACTCCACATGGCCGTCTCTATTAGCAGGTTTTGCTTTTCCATTTGCATGAGTTTTATTCTGACAGAAGTGCTTTTACTGAAGGAGCTCCCTGTTCATCTAATTATAAAGACTCATTCATACTGGATTAAAATCACTCCACAATCATTCTTTTTTATTACGTAGTCCACGATTAGATAACAGTGAGTCATACAGTGTCAGAAGCCACATCGTCATGATTAGAGATAACTGCATGACTCCACAAGGTTTGATACGTGTCTGATATTGAAGGCTTGAAGTTAGCACCATGCTAAACAGTGGGGTATAAACGTCCATTAGTTGCTGACAACATTAGCCTCGTAGCTCCAGTGCTAAACTAAAGAAGCAAACTTCCGACTCCAAATACGTTCTGGCTGATTGACTATGTTTGGAGTAAGGGCTGAATGTTGGGTAAATCTGATTTGTTTGGCAGAAACACAGCTTTAAAAGCCAACCTGCAGGAACCCATCAGGCTGATCAGTCTCCAGGACTGAATGGAGGATTGCCTCCTCCTCTCTTCCCCTGTTCAGTTTCTCCTCTATCTCGTTTCTGTTGTTCTGCATCATCTCCACCACGGCTCTCTGCTCTTTCTCCAGCAGCGTCTTCACCTTCTGCTCTTTCTCTCTGAGGAACTGGTGCATTTCCTCAAACTGAGCGGATATCTGAGCTGCAAGCTGCTTGGATTTCTCCTAAAAGAGCAGGAAATGAAAAGCTTGTGATGACTTCACAATTCTTAAAGTGGGCAACAAGTAAACTCTGGAGGCACCAAAGTATGATAATGCAGAGAAACACATTCTTTTTTATGTTCTTGTAGAAGGTTCTATTAGAACAGTACAGCAGAGTAAGAGCAACTAGTGGTTCTAGGGATCCTCTTAATGCTACTTTAGTTTTTCAGTTTACACTGAGCTGTAAAAGGAGCATTCTGGCCTCTCACTACAATACCCAGCATGCATTCTGTGAATATGTCATACAGCCAAGGTGCAAGATGCAGAGGGTCCTGGGGGGTCCGGGACCTCCTAATTAATCCCTTGGAACCCCTGAATGTTTTAAAAATCAAAACTCTAGGGGGGTCCATGAAAATAATTGCATTATGAAGGTACGCTGTTCGTTAAGGAAAAATAGATGCTAAAATACAAATTCTGTCGCTGTAGCAAATTAGTTCACCCTGTTGATCCTTCGTAGCCTAGCAACTGTAGTTATGCCCTGGATACCTCAGAAAAACTTTACAATATCAGAGAACTTGTGGAAAAGAGAATTACCACCCTGTAATGTCTTCTGGGTTTCTCAAACGCTAGAGGGCGCTCGTGAGCCAGTCCAAAATGAATGGGTTAAGATGGAGCATTTGAGCAAAATCATAGTTTATAAATGTTTAAACGTTTTTAGTGTAAATAAGTACATTAATTTCCTGAAACACAGAACAGCATAAAACACTTTAACACTGCTGTTATATTTTTACGAGCTTTTAAATTCGAGCTATAGGAGTTTAAAATGGTGCCTCATCTACATTCATGACGTCAGTGAGCGCAAACATCAGCACTCACTAGCAGTAATGCTAACATCCTGCTGCCCAAAACCCATTTGCTGTAGAAAAAAGGAAGCACACAGGTAAGTTTTCTTTGCTTTTCTTGTCAAATACATCCTTCTACTTTCTAAAATTAAAGGAAAGTTCTGGGTGAGTAATTAGAAACTATTTTAACTTTTTGTTTTTAGCCGTTTAGCTCTGTTTACTCCCATTCATTAAGCTTGTGGGCGCCCTCTGCTGTTTTGCAGTCGTGCTTTTGATATAATAGGGGAAACAGGAAGAGGATGGCTCCTTAAACCAGCTCTGACAATATGCTATAGCATATTTGTAAATCTGAATACTTGCCCAATTTCACAAAAGACTGGAAAAAAGAATGAAATATTACTCATTTAAAAAATCAAAGGCGCTCAGTTAAGAGCACATAAACTAGAAAAGAGCATTTCCAAAATAAGAGTTAAAGAGTTAAACTAAAGATTTTGGTGCCATTGAAGCAGCATTGTTCAACCAATACTGACTGCTAGCCTAGCCAAAGAATGTGTAATGTGTAATACTCTTACACCAGCTCTGGCTTAGCCACTGAGCTACAGGCTAATAAACAGCACCAAGCCAGCACTGTAACTCTTACTTTGGTCATCTAACACAATCTTAAAGAAAATATTGTTTCCATTCTTGATTCAACACAAACTGGACGCCAGAGACAAGATTTATTTTGATCAGAAGCCAAACTGAGGTAGATTTGCTAACTGGCTCTGGCCTAGCCACTGAGCTACAGGCTAATAAACAGCACCAAGTGCATTTGTGTAACTCTCACTTTGGTCATTGAACAAAATCTTAAAGAAAACATTCTGTCTTCATTCTTCCCTGATAGCAAGAGGATAGTGGACCACTGTTGGCCTGCTGATGGCAAAGCTGGTGATCCACTGGCATTTTGCTCAGCGTTTTCTGGGTGGCCCACCGGTGGTTAAGCAGATTAATAGACAAAATTCCACTAATTGCTCATTTTCTACTCATAGTCCAATTTACTTTACCAGCTTTCTTTAGTTATACATTATAAATTAGTTTAGTAAAACATTTTAATCAGTATTTTAATCAGTAAAATAATTTTAATTTTTAAGCAACAACCTTTTCTATAAAATCATTTCACATCAGGCCTAGTCATTATTTTTTTTTCTTAGTTGATTGTAATATTTGTCTTAGTTTTTTATCTAAAATGAAAAGCTCTGTGAATTTAAAATCTGTTTGAGGAGATTAAAATCTAGTTAGAGCTTGTGTGCAGGACAATAATCTGGGTGGTCCGAGGGTGGAGTAAATAGCCTGCGGGGTGCTGACTTTATCAAGCCAGTGGACCGATATATGCTTGCTGTCAGGGTTTAGTCAACACAAAATGGACATCAGAGAAAGTTTTCTTTCCATCAGAGAAAAGAAGCCAAAGTCAGGTGAGGTAGAGAGCCACATAGCTCCTTTGCTAACCGGCTCTGGCCTAGCCACTGAGCTACAGGCTCATAAACAGAACCGAGCCAGCATTATTGTAACTCTTACTTTGCTCATCTAACAAAATCTTAAAGAAAACATTCTGTCTTTATTCTTTAGTCAACACAAAATGGACGCCAGAGACAAGTTTTCTTTTTATCAGAAGCCAAACTCAGGAAAGGTAGACAGCCAGATAGCTACTTTGCTAACAGGCTCTGGCTTAGCCACTCGGCTACAGGCTAATAAACAGAACCAATTCTGCATTGTAACTCTTACTTCGTCCGTCTAACACAATTGTAAAGAAATCATTCTGTCTTCATTCTTTAGTCAACACAAAATGGATGTCAGAGAAAGTTTTTTTCCATCAGAGAAAAGAAGCCAAACTCAGGTGAGGTAGAGAGCCAGGTAGCTACTTTGCTAACTGGCTCAGGCCTAGCCACTGAGCTACAGGCTCATAAACAGAACCAAGTGCATTTGTGTAACTCTTACTCTGATCATTGAACCAAATCTTAAAGCAAACATTCTGTCTTCATTCTTTATTTAGGACACCAGAGACAAGTTTTCTTTCGATCAGAGAGAAGCCAAACCTCAGGTAAGGTAGATAGCCAGATGGCTACTTTGCTAACCTTTATCTTTTGGTTGGTTCTCCTCCTCATCCGATAAGTAATTTCTGTCTTTTGAGTCAGTTTTCTCTACTGAAATGCTAATTTGAAGGTCGTTACTACAGTTATGTATGGCTGCTGTAAGATATTCCTCTTCCTAGCACTAACATTAGCAGTTGGGATGCTCCTTTAAGGCTAGTTAATCATTCTGTGACAATGTTTTTACCTCATTCACCCCATTTTCAACCATTTCAACACGAATGCATTGAAATAGAAAATACTAGTGAGGGTACCTGCTGGAAAAAACAGCACCAATACCAGCATATGTTGTTTTGGATGCTATACTGGTCAACCAGCATGACCAGCATGCTGGTCTGTGCTGTTTTTTTTCAGCAGGGCTGACAGACATTTTGAGTGTGTTTCATGCTGTTTGTAATCTGACCTCAGTTTTGGTGATCTCAGTCGTCTGCATCTTTATCAGCTCCTCCAGCTCTTTGTTTTCTTTCGACAGGAAAGTTAGTGGTTCTCTCAGCATCTCCTACAGAGAGAGGACATACAGTAAGTTTGACTTGTCATTAATCCTTTTATGGTATCAATCATAATAATCATAGTAAATCTGGCCTCACAACAGCTTAATTCGACTATGATTATTTAGGAAAGAATTTAACACACAATTGAATCTAAAATTTCACCAGAATTTGATTCAGTGTGATTATGTTGGTGTGATTAAGAATTTTTTGGCATATATAAAATATCCTTAATATATAAAACTGTTTACTAAGTAGTGGAATAAAAAACACCTTTTCTGAGACTTTTATGTTTAAAACAAGCCAAAATTATTTATCCGATTTTAAGATTTGATCATCACTAATGATATATGAGGCAAGGTGCTTCTGATGTTGCAGAACGTTGTAGGAACGTTTCGAAAGTTACATAAAAACGTTCTCAGAACGTGCAGAAAACGTTTTGGTAACCTACAAATAAGGTTCTCATACTGTTGCAACAATGTTGTGGGAACATTTACAAACATTATACTGAAACATTCTCAGAACATCCAGAAAACTTGACAGATTGAACGTTCGAGGAACCAAAAATTGTAACATTGAAAGAATGTTCTGATAACCAAAATTGTTAGCTGGGATTCAGGATATTAGTTTTGTTGTGACTTCATTTTTAAAGCCCTACTGCTTTTTCAGTTATTTCTTAATTTTTTTACAATGTCCTACAAATGAATTGAACACTGTTAAGTTAAATACAGGATTGTGTTAGAATCATTTTATACATCTATAACAGAATATTATAACACAACACTAAATACACTCCAAACATTTGAACAGTGATGTATGATCTTCAGTTTTTGCTGCCTTGTGCCCTTTTGTTTATCACCATGCCCATATTGTATCTTTCAGCCCCCATGTTGCATGACATGACTTTAAGAATGGACTAACTTTAGCAAATACTTTATTATCATGCTGTATGTCTGTTCTTCAGCTGATTTGTTAAGCTTTCATTTGCTGAAAGTTTGCTGTACTTAGCATATGTATCACACACTGAGATCTATGGCAGAGATAAATGACCAATTTACTCTGGTGGTTTCAGTTGTTATGTACTTAATCACTCGCATATCAATGTCTTTCACTAACTGTCTTGTGTTCTGCTGCCTTGTCCAGCAGTTTGTACTCATGGCCTTCGTGTTTATCATCCTCTGTACCAACCAGTTCCATGTTGGGGTAGGTTTGCACAACTGCACAACACTTTAATTAGGAATTCAGTGGATCTGCTTTTAGCTCACATATTAAGTTTTAATTTGCTGATTATATAGCTGGATTATCCTAACATACGAGCTGCATTCCAAAGCTTAGGCGGCAGCCGAGGTAGGCTGCATTTCTCAGCCGCTACGTCATAGCAGGCCGTTCCAAAGTGAAGGATCCTTTGTATACAGCCTAGAAATGCTCTACGTCCTGAGTGATTTCAAGGATGCATCGGATATATCCTTCCACGCTTTCCCACAGTTCTCTGTGCACAAACGACGCAAAGGAAAAAAAAACAACAGCACCATAAAATGGAGGAGTCTTCATAGGACAGTCCTACTGAGGACCCACACTACCTTGGCTGCTGCCTGGGCTTTGGAACGCAGCTATGGTTAACTGGGGATATACAACATGGAAACTGTGCCAATTAACCCCAGTCTCGCCTACTCTGGTGCAGTGTTTTCAGCAGTGGTGGACGAAGTACACAAGTCATGTACTTGAGTTAAAGTAGAGATACCCAAGGTAAAATATTACTCCAGTAAAAGTAGAAGTTCCTCCCTTTAGACCTCCACTTGAGTAAAAGTACAAAAGGATTTGCCTTCAAATGTACTTAAGTATCGAAAGTGAAAGTACTAAAAGATTAATTATGGCTCTGATGTCCTATTATCATTTTTGTAACAAGACTCGCTTCATTAACTCATTTTAGGTGAAAATACTCCAGAGTCTCTCTTGGTAAACCAGTCTTTTAATAGAATGTCATTAATTAGTGACGCTGATGTCTATTAAAATTATCATCAGCACAAAACACTGAAGGCAAACAGTTTCCATCAGGTAGAACTGAGTGGCTCTGAAATGACTTTTTACAAACAAGCAAAGTTTCAGTTTAAGATTTATTTGAACTTAGTTACAAGTTTAAGTTTAATAAAACTTTAAACTCAGATTCACAAATGAGTTTTCTTTACTAAACTGCATCTGTAGGTCTCTGTTCATAAACATAAACTAGCAAAAACAAATTTACTATAAAATGAAAGTGTTTGTATAAATTCAGAATAAAGACACGTCAGTCACAACTGCATATGTGTACATATTTCTATATTGTGGTCTGTTTACACAAAGTTAGGTTAGTTCATCATTTATGTTGAATAGACTCTCCTAAAATTTTACGCTGCTGCCCTGACGTTGAACCGTGTGCTGCACTGGGTCGGTATGACCAACAGGTCAAAACAAGCTCAAAACAAAGTGTGTGCTGTGCCCTGATTGATGTTCTTCCTTTGCACGTCTTTCGTTTTGACACGTTACATTTTTATGGACATAATGTAGTGGAGTAAAAAGTAAGATATTTAACTTTGAAATGTAGTGGAGTGAAAGTAAAAAGTCACCCAAAATGGAAATACTTCAGTAAAAAAACTACTTAAGTACAGTAACAAATTACATTTACTTAGTTACTGTCCACCAGTATCAACGTGCTTGATCACTTTCACACCAGCATCTTCCACTGACCTTTTTGGGTTCTGCTGCCTCGTCCACCGGTTTGAACTTGTGGCCTTGGTGTTTTTCGCCGTCCCTACAGATCAGACACACTAATTTCTGATCTGTTTCACAGAACAGTTTCAGTCTTTCAGCGTGGTCCGGACACACCAGCTTCTCCGGCTCCACCACCAGCCCGGCTCTAGCGCCATCTGGTCCGCCAGAGGCTGTGTTTTGTTCTCTCAGGGCTTGTTGCGCAGAGAGATGTTCCCTCACGGCGTCCACCATGTTCCTGAGAACCCGGTTGGAGCGCAGGTCCCACATAGTGTAGGGCCGGCGACATTCTGGACACAGCCGGAGACCCCTGCTAGTCTGGGAGTGATTGCTGATGCACTGCCGGCAGAACGTGTGGTCACACAGCAGACTGACCGGGTCCACGAAATCTCCCAAACACACGGAGCACTGGATCTGCTTAGAGAGACGAGAATCCATTGGGGCTTTTCTTCTTAAGCTTTGTCCTGGCTCTGTTAAAAGTCTGCTCCTAGAGTTCCTGTAGCCCAGCTGGTGCTAACAATGCTAAGCTTGTACGTTTGGTTCCCAAGGAGCACATGTTCTAGTAAGTTGCTATGGATAAATATGGATATGCATGATATAAACAGTCTTCGAAATGTCTCTAGACATTCACTGGCAGAGAAAGTTTCAGAATCCCCCTGGTCCTAATAGCAGCTGGGGTCTGGCAGCAAATGTCCACCACGCAAGGGGGTTTTTCTGGGTGTGTTAGCTCGTCCCCTCCTCCTGGCTAACATATGTTTCCTTCAGTATTCTATATTTAACCTTTAACCATGTGGTTCAGGATGCTTACAAACATTCCCCCTCATAAAATCTGGCTAATAGCAAGACGCTCACTTTACTGTACAGTGAAGTTCTATGAACACTACGGTTCGCAGCCTATTAGCATTACAGTTCTTTACAGTCACTGGAGACAACTTGTCATCTTTTACCTGACATTATTATTTACAAGGAACAAAAAATAATGTAATATAATGTAATATACTTCAAAAGTAATTGTATTCATCTGTAACAAGCTAAGCATCCACCGAAACAAAGCATTAGCTCAAATTACAGATATCTTTCAGCTTTGACCTTCTGACTGACATGAAGGAAACAAACAGGTGTCTGGATTGTCACATGGAAATAAAATGAGTCAGCGCTCCTGCCGGACTCTCTGTTGTCCCCTCACTCTATAATTAGCTTCTGTTATTTTCAGTTGCATGCATGAAACTACTGAACAAATACACAGCAACAGAAATCAAATTAGTTTTTTATTTGCTATCAGACACACAAAGGTGCATGTCAAAATTAATATATATGCATTTCCTCAACAAAATGATGTGCATATCGCTGTTGTCGGAAGAAAACCTCATATCTCCAAAATATAACTTTACAGGAGAAGGAAAAAACAAACTTTCCTTTTAATGTAAGTCAGTGGAACCAGACTTTTTTCCATCAGTTCCATTCGTCATGACATTTACATACAATATAAAGGGAAACAGCCATTTTCAAATTGTCAAAAAGTGAAAAATGTCAAAAATGGAGATACGAGGTTTTCGTCCAAAAGCGATATATTTCCTGAACACAGTTCAGCTCAAAACATAACTATTGCTTATATATTAAGAACTACAATAATGAAAAAAAAAGTTTTTTTAATTCAAATATTTTCTAGACAAAAAGAAACTCAAAATACAGTTTTATTCAAATGTTTTAGCCAAATTCCAGGTTGTTGTTGATTTTCTAAGTGAAAATAATTAACACATCCTCTACAGAGAACACTTCTGCACAGATTCACTCGAAAGTGGCCATGAAAATTCTGTAATAACTCTCTCTAGGACGAATCAATCTGAACAAAACAACATGCAATGCTCCTCAGTATATAGAGCTTCGAACAAGCCGGAATGCCCCTGCATCGGAGTGATGAGGTAGGTGCCGGACCGCCGTTGCAACATTTAACCTCCGTTTGCAACTTTCGGGTGCATACCGCCGTACCCCTTCATTTGTCTGGCAGAAAACAGAGATCACTTCCAGCATTGCATGTAATGCAATAGATTACACATACGTCAAAGTATGTAGGGTATTTATATCTCCCTGTAGTTTATTTATAAATTGTGTACTAAAATGTGCAGAAATGCCATATTTAGGTGTGTTCTCTGTAGCAGATGAGTTTACTTATTTTCACTTAGAAAATCAGCAATACATGTAATAGGACCTGATCTGGGTTGCTCAAACTTTTACATATGACTGTATAACTAGTAATTACATCAGCAATTACAGAACAAGCAATAAAAATCCCCTATTTCTAAACATGTTCTTTAATTTTCGTATCCAATATGAAAAACATTCACTCTTTTACAATATGACCCTAAATTTTCTTGCTGAAGCACCTTTAGATATCATGTTGGTCTCAGTACCAACAAACTGTAAGTGGGCAACTCTCCATTCAGATTCTGTTCAGCAGAGATGCAGAGGAAACGGGCAAATCTGCACGACAAGGAAAAACAGTTAATCAATATAGAACTTTTAACATTATGTGGAGCGTCTTCAGTTTCCACACACCTCGTTCTTGCATTGAAACCATGCATTGAAAGGTTCTTTCGGGAACCAAAAGTGGTTCTTCTTTGTCATTGCTCCAAAGAAATTTGAGCACCTTTTGAAATGTCAGTGAAATGTTAGATTTCCAAAAAATTGTTACTCCTCCTCTTTCAGCCCCCATTGCTTGCTAGCAGCTCAACATTTCACACTTAAAGAGACAGCAGTGTCCTAGTTGATCTGATAACAGAATTACGGGGATGAATATTTTATTTTGGCTAAAGTAAGTCAAAATATTCAAGTAGATTCCGTTCTGCTGGTGGAATGGCCACTAGGAGGCCTGCAGAATGACAGTATACACGTGAAACGTTTGAGTGCTGACATCACAACATAGGTAATACGTTACTTTTAGCATATGTCTAAGTTTACTTAAGCAAGTGAGTTCAGTTTTGCATTGTTTTTGGCAACATCTGAAGTGCTTTCTATTAGTTATTGCAAACCACCAATGCTCATTTATTAAACACTGTTGAAATGCTCTATCCCCAGACTTTTGATGAGCTGTTTGATTTGCATTAATTTTTTTAAATGGTTTTCCAAACTTACCTCATTGGATGGATTTGCACATCTCTTTACACACAGTGAACTTCAGGTCAGTCTCATAGGGCCCGAGGGACAGTGTGTCACGAAATAACTCTAACATCACTCACAGGTGATTGCCTAGTAAAAGGCATCAAATTTTCAATCCATTTCAGATCAGAGTATTTGGTAAAGCATTTTTACTTCAGTGCTTCTCCTGTACTCACATTCGTCGAGATGACGCTGTTTCCCCAGTAAGTGACTGTCCACACTCAGTCCACCACTGTGGGCATGTAAGCATTTAGTAAATGATGATCAAAATGTTTTTTTTTATTGATATTTCAAATTTCAAATAACAGATTTCCAAGTACCAGTTTTCTGTACCAAGACAGTAGTGATCTAGTGGATTTCCAATTTTGGATAATAACCAAAACAGACTATTTAGAACAATGATAAATGCCTTACATACATAATAATGGAAATGGGATAACGCTACCTTAATCAGAAACTAACCCATCTGTGCTAGAATTAGCTAATCTTATTCTAAAATGTTAATTTGTGTCAATTTCATTTTTCTAAACTTCCAATTAAAACGTCACTGAACAGAACAATAAAAGTCTAACCTGCAGGAACTGGCAGGGTTCGTCCGTCTCCAGGGCTGACACTAACACTCCTTGATTCACTTTCACTTCCGACAGCATTTCCTCCATTGAAAACAGGTTTACCTCCATACGTTCTAAAAGAGTATTCTCCTTCACCAACAGCAGTGCCTTTACCTCGTCCTCTTTGTCTCTCAGAAATTGGTGCATCTGCTCAAACTGCTCAGAAATCTGGTCTGACAGCGCCTTTGATTGCTCCTGCAATAAAAATAAATGAACATGTCCAGCATTTAGTGTATCATTAGGCCGTTAAGTTCACTAGAGTAACTTATTTCACTCAGACACTTACTTATTTTCCCACCTACCCTTGTTCTTATAATCTCGTCAGCCTGGCTCTCAATCAACTCCACCAGTGTCTCGTTTTCACAGACCAAAATGTCAAACTTCTCAGCTGCCTTCACCTAAAAGATGTATTAGTATCAACAAGTGGGTTAGACAAGCACGGCAAATGCTCGTGAAATTTTATGAGATTTTTAATGTAATTTGTTTTAAACCATTAGACTGTTGTTTCATCACATATGCCTGTGCTTACAAAAGAACTCAAAACTTATAATGGAAGTCAATGGGCAGTTGCTGAATTCTGTTAGTAAATGTTAATGCAAAATACATATTTGAGGAGAACGCTTGCATGAATTCATCAGTCAAAGATATTTATGAATTAAGGTATAAATCTGAATGATTTATTCATTCATGGAAGATGCTAGTCTTCCAGGGGGATGAACCTCTCTCCATCACTATAACCGAGTAGCCAGACTTTATTGATGTAGCTTAAGGAAACAACTTGTGCTTTTGTGTTTTTACTGCTACTTTAAAGTAACTTTAATCGTGCCACAGTAGCTAGTGGTGTCGGCTAATTTAGCTGAAGCTGGGTACATATTGCCAGGGATGGATCCCTGACAGAAGCCCCCATCCCAACGTCTCCACAGATGCTGAAAAGACAAACAAGGGGATAGCCACGGGGAATGGAACTGGGCGGTCTGGGCATCTACAATTGAATTCAACCTTAAGTAGAGGGTTTAATGTGTCCCTGGCAGAGACCCATGATTTTTTCTCTGAACCATATCCCTCCCTATCCACCAAATGCTGGAACTGTGCCCCGTTCTGCCTAATTCTAGGAGGCTGATTTTGGCAAAATCAGGAGCGCCAGCCACCATGACGGCAGGAAGTGGTGTATCCAGGCCTTCAGAATCGTCAGGGGCCCTGGCACCACAAGCCTCAGGAGAGAGACATGAAATGAGGGTGAAAAATGGAATTGTGAAAAAAAAGCTTTTGTCTCCTGATCGCTCTCCCCAGACTTTCTCACTGATTTGATCCATTCATCAGCAGCTGGAACCTCTTCACTACTCCTCATGTAGTTGAAGAGTGGAGGCTAGGGATGATGGTGGATCTGGAACTGTAAGAGGAGTGCGTCAAAGAATTCTGGGCATTTTCGACCCAGGAAAGATACCCGTCTCCACAATAGCTGTGAAGGTACCAGTTGAGCACTTGATTCAACTTCTTCACCTGGTAATTGGACTCTGGATGGTGTCCTAAAGTTAACCTAAAGGTCAGCACTCCAGGTCTCTTCCTTCCAGATCTGGGTCCTTTGGTGAAATGCTGTTTCCTTAGGCAGGTTGAAGCCATGGAAGATGTGGTGAGGGAGGAATGGTGACATTGCCTTTATGTATTGGGAGGTCTCTGACAAAGTCCACCGATAGATGTGTCCAGGGCTGTGGTGGTATGGGCAAGGTTTTCAAGGTACCAGCTGGTGGTTGATGTGTTCAGTGGCTGGTGAAGTGTGGGCTCAGGTGATCAGCCGACCTCTGAAGGCCTTTGGCACATCCATATTCCTCCTGTGCTTGCCAGATGGTCAAGGAACTCCAGCAGCAGCATCCTCAATCTCCTTGTTGAATGTCCCATTGGAGTGACCAATCAGGTGGACATCATTATGAGCTATGTAAGAATTCAATCAAAGACAAAAGGCCAACTCTCCACTCTCTTGCATTTTTTTCTTCTCCAGACAGACGATGTCTATTTCCGTGGGCTCTGGGGTTCCAGCTGGTGATGTAGTGGGTTTGCCAAAAGCAAAATTACCTTAGGAAACTGTCCAGCCAGATAGCCAGGGAGATGAGCTGGTCATGGGTTAGGGAGTCGACATGGCCGACCAAATTGGCCTGGAGCTTTTCACAAATCCCAAGTGAAACACCATGATGCGGTCATTTCATCCACTTGCAGTGGCTAGCATGCTGAAAATAAAAGCATATTCTGGCACAGAGCAGTGTTTCCTCTAGACTTGGTACCCTCCCCATATGGCCTGAAAGATTGTGGCCCACTCTCAAGCTCTCCTTGCAGCAAAAAGACTACAAAGGCAAATTTGGTGGAGTTGAATGGTTATGAGTAATGCACAGAAAACACTGTAACAAGCAGTGTGATTGCCATCAAACTCATTTCAGAGTTGTGAGGAACAACTGTGCTCTGAAAAGGGCTGTGGTTCTGTGGGTGGTTAGGCCATTAGTTGTTGGTTTTTGGAGTCTGCTGAATTTGATGTTGTCAATGTTGTTGTAACTGTTTTGGTTGCTGTTGTTGATTAATCAACATCTGACTCAAACTTGCTAAGATAAACACATGGCAAACCCAGAGGCTAATATCTGAGCTTAAACATAAATGAGACAAAGGCAAGGCAAGCATGGCTGTGAGGAGGTGGTATTTAAAAAGTCAGGTGTCAGTACTTGGAGAGAGCTCATCAGTGAAAACTGACGAAAAGTTCAAAACTATAATAACGCTGATCCTTATAAACCTTGATGATAAGAAATACCCACCTACTTTTACCTGTGTTCTGTAAAGCTTGTCCAAGCTTACATGAGTAGCAACAGAAGAACATAGAGTCTAGGGAATGGTTAAAGCCATTTGATATTTAGGAAAGTATAAGTGGTTAAATAGGTTGTATGTACCTTATTGGCCTGGAATGCCTCACTCAGATTTTTGAACCTGTGCCCCTGATGTCTTTGGTCCCCTCTGCAGGCCACAAAGATGAGTTTGTGATCCGCCTCACAGAAAAGGCTGAATGTCTCGAAGGGGTTGGGACATTAGTCTGTAGAGGTCCAGTTTTGTCTCCTCAGGGTGGACATTGATGTTTCTCTGAGGGCTTCCTGTTCCTCCAGATGGGCTCTGACAGCGTCCACGATGTTCCTCAAAGCTCGATTGACCCTGACGTCATCCCCCTGAAGGGACTCCGGCACTCTGGACATCTGTTTTCATCACCATTCATGGCCAAGTGATGCACACTCTACAGTAGGAGTGTTGGCATGGAAGACACACCAGATCCCTTAAATTGTGCAAGCACACTCCACATTGAATGTGCATAGACAAGAAAGCCATTGGAGAAATGTAAGTGTGCTTAATCCAAAATCAATTGATTTCAACTCAGTAGTGCTTTTCTTCTCTTTCTGCATGGCTGTAGCCTCGAATTATCTCCAAACTTGACTCCAAAATCGACTCCAAACACAACTCCACTGAGCTGACTAAAGTGAAAGTATGAAGATTTCCACAGTCATGATTCAATCACAAACACCTGCACAACTTAGGAATTTTCTTTCCTTCCTTATACATACTTTAAGCACATGGCAAGACCGGTTTTATAAGTGGTTCTCAGAAAGATAAGTATTAATACAATGTGAGGAACTTGTGGACATGTGGCTGTGTTATTGCCCCACTAGGCATGTTGCTCGCGGTGCACCCTCACAGCATACGCCATGTTCCTGAGCACCCCTTTGGAACGTAGGTCCCACATGGTGTAAGGCCGGTGGCATTAGTTGGAAACAACTAGAGACCACTGAAAGTGACTGCTAACACACTGCCTGCAGAAAGTGTGGTCAGCAGATTGACCAGGCCTACGAAATCTAACAAGGAAAAAGAGCTCTGGATCTGCTTGGTCAGACAAGAATCTATTGTAGCTTTTCTTCTTAAGATTTGTCCATTCCCTTTTTGAAATCTCCAGTCTCACCTACTTTGGTGCAGTGGTTTCTGTATCAATGTGCTTGATTACTCTCATGCCAAAATCTTCCACTGAGCTTTTTGGTTTCTGCTGCCTTGTCCACCGGTGGCCTTAGTGTTTATTGTTATCCCCATGTATGCTAATCAGTCTCATGCTGGGGCAGGTTGGCACAAGCGCACATCACAAATTTAATCAGGAGTGAATTAATTGTAGAGCATACTTTCTAATATTTAATGTGTCTGGTTTTACTCAAGAGGTCAAGCTTTCAGTTACCGACAGCTTGGTTATCCTAACATATGGTTAACTGGAGATATACAACATGGAAACTGTCTCCAATTAACCCCAGTTTCTCCTACTCTGGTGCAGTGTTTTTTAGTATCAATGTGCTTGATCACTTTCACACCAACATTTTCCACTGACCTTTTTGGGTTCTGCTGCCTCGTCCACCGGTTTGAACTTGTGGCCTTGGTGTTTTTCGCCGTAAATACAGATCAGACACACTAATTTCTGATCTGTTTCACAGAACAGTTTCAGTCTTTCAGCGTGGTCCGGACACACCAGCTTCTCCGGCACCACCACCGGCCCGGCTCTGGTGCTGTCCGGTCCGCCGGAGGCTGTGTTTTGTTCTCTCAGGGCTTGTTGCACAGAGAGATGTTCCCTCACGGCATCCACCATGTTCCTGAGAACCCGGTTGGAGCGCAGGTCCCACATGGTGTAGGGCCGGCGACATTCTGGACACAGCCGGCGACCCCTGTTAGTCTGGGAGTGATTGCTGATGCACTGCCGGCAGAATGTGTGGTCACACAGCAGACTGACCGGGTCCTCAAAATCTCCCAAACACACGGCACACTGGATCTGCTTAGAGAGACGAGAATCCATTGGGGCTTTTCTTCTTAAGCTTTGTCCTGGCTCTGTTAAAAGTCTGCTCCTAGAGTTCCTGTAGCCCAGCTGGTGCTAACAATGCTAAGCTTGTACGTTTGGTTCCCAAGGAGCACATGTTCTAGTAAGTTGCTATGGATAAATATGGATATGCATGATATAAACACGAAGACATGTCTTCGAAATGTCTCTAGACATTCACTGGCAGAGAAAGTTTCAGAATCCCCCTGGTCCTAATAGCAGCTGGGGTCTGGCAGAAAATCTCCACCACGCAAGGGGGTTTTTCTGGACATGTTAGCTCGTCCCCTCCTGGCTAACATGTTTCCTTCAGTATTCTATATTTAACCTTTAACCATGTGGTTCAGGATGCTTACAAACATTCCCCCTCATAAAATCTGGCTAATAGCAAGATGCTCACTTTACTGTACAGTGAAGTTCTATGAACACTACGGTTCGCAGCCTATTAGCATTACAGTTCTTTACAGTCACAGGAGACAACTTGTCATCTTTTACCTGACATTGCATATTTTTAGTTCCCTGTAAATAATAATGTAATATACTTCAAAAGTAATTGTATCCATCTGTAACAAGCTAAGAATCCACAGAAACAAAGCATTAGCTCAAATTACAGATATCTTTCAGCTTTGACCTTCTGACTGACGTGAAGGAAACAAACAGGTGTCTGGATTGTCACATGGAAATAAAATGAGTCAGCGCTCCTGCCGGACTCTCTGTTGTCCCTTCACTCTATAATTAGCTTCTGTTATTTTCAGTTGCGTACATGAAACTACTGAACAAATACACAGCAACAGAAATCAAATTCGTTTTTTATTTGCTATCAGACACACAAAGGTCCATCCATCCATCCATCCATCCATCATCTAAACCGCTTATCCTTCTGGGTTGCGGTGGGTGCTGGAGCCTATCCCAGCTGTCATTGGGCGGAAGGCAGGATACACCCTGGACAGGTCGCCAGTCCATCGCAGGGCAGACAGACAGACATACACATTCACACACTCACTACACACAAAGGTGCATGTCAAAATTAATATATATGCATTTCCTCAACAAAATGATGTGCATATCGCTGTTGTCGGAAGAAAACCTCATATCTCCAAAATTATAACTTTACAGGAGAAGGAAAAAACAAACTTTCCTTTTAATGTAAGTCAATGGAACCAGACTTTTTTCCAAGTAATTTTGGGTAAGTTCTTTTAGTACATTCGTCCTGAAATTTACATACAATGTAAAGGGAAACAGCCATTTTCAAATTATGTCAAAAACTGAAAAATGTCAAAAATGGAGATACGAGGTTTTCTTCCCGACAACAGCCAGATATTTTCTGAAACACAGTTCAGCCCAAAACATAACTATTGTTTATATATTACGAACTTTTCCAGTTAAATTTTTTTAATGCAAGTTTTTAATTTAATGATTTTCTAATGAAAATAATTAACACATCCTCCACAGAGAACACCTCTGCACATTTTAATGCAGTTACTGTTTATTTGCTTTAACATATACTAAAATGCAACCTATGCTAAAGTTGTGGTACATTTTATAGTTTATTTATAAATTGTGCACTAAAATGTGCAGAAATGCCATATTTAGGTGTGTTCTCTGTAGCAGATGAGTTTACTTATTTTCACTTAGAAAATCAGCAATACATGTAATAGGACCTGATCTGGGTTGCTCAAACTTTTACATATGACTATATAACTAGTAATTACATCAGCAATTACAGGACAAGTAATAAAAAATCCCCTAATTCTAAACATGTTCTTCAATTTTGTATCCAATATGAAAAACATTCACTCTTTTACAATATGATCCAAAATGTTCTTGCTGAAGCACCTTTAGATATCATGTTGGTCTCAGTACCAAGTAAGTAGGTGGGCAACTCTCCATTCAGATTATGTTCAGCGGAGATACAGAGGAAACGGGCAAATCTGCACGACAAGGAAAAACAGTTAATCAACATAGAACTTTGACATTATGTGGAGCGTCTTCAGTTCCACACACCTCATTTATGAGGAATGTGCATTGAAAGGTTCTTTAGGGAAATAAATGTTTTCCTGTCATTGCTCCAAAGAGCCTTTGGGTTCGGGAACACTTTTAGAAATTTTCCATTAAATGTTAGATTTCAACTGTTACTTTTCAGAAAAATGGTTTAGTATGTGTTGATATTTTGGGTAAATGTACCTTCAACATGCTTAATGTTCATCAAAAGCTGCTCAACGCGACTCTACTTGCTTTTTTGGTTCTCCATTATGCAAATCTAGTGCCTATTTTCGGTATCACCTCTGTCGAGGCGCCAAGCAAGCTGAGCTGATACCAGAAGGTGATGTGGAAAGACTGCAGACTACTGACTGGTCGGAGAGAAACGTTACTATTGCCCTAAACACATATGCTAACATTAGCTACCAGGTTAGTGTAGCCTCTTGTGTCACCTTTGAGCAACCAGAATTTGTCTTGCTGCCATCAGTCTCTTTAAAACAACATTTGTCTTGGCAGTTTCATGTGGCATTGCTCGCCTTTTATCTCGGCATGGCCGTCTTTGTGGAAAGGTGTGAATTGTTTTTCACAGCAGGGGGTTCTTACCCCTCCTCTCTCAGCCCCCATTGCTCACTTGCAGAGACAGCAGTGTCCTAGTTAATCTGATAACAGAGTTATGGGGATGAATATTTTATTTTGGCCAAAATAAATAAAAATGTTCAAGTAGATTCTGTTCTGCTGGTGTAATGGCCACTAGGAGGCCTGCAGAAAGACAGTATACACCTGAAACGTTTGAGTGACATCACAACATAGGTAATACGTTTTTTCCCAAGGTAGGAATTTTGTCTAAGTTTACTTAAGCAAGTGAGTTCAGTTTTGCATTGTTTTTGGCAACATCTGAAGTGCTTTCTATTAGTTATTGCAAACCACCAATGCTCATGTATTAAACACTGTTGAAATGCTCTATCCCCAGACTTTTGATGAGCTATTTGATTTGCATTATTTTTTTTAAATGGTTTTCCAAACTTACCTCGTTGGATGGATTTGCACATGTCTTTACACACAGTGACCTTCAGGTCAGTCTCATAGGGCCCGAGGAACAGTGTGTCACGAATAACTCTAACATCACTCACAGGTGATCGCCTAATAAAAGGCATCACATTTTTTTTCAGAATGATATTTCAGATCTGAGTATTTAGTAAAGCATTTTTACTTCAGTGCTTCTAGTGTACTCACATTTGTTGAGATGACGCTGTTTGCCCAATAAGTGACTGTCCACACTCAGTCCACCACTGTGGGCACATTAGCATTTACTAAGTGATAGTCAAAATGTTTTTATTAATTGACAGATATTTCAAATTTCAAATTACAAATAACAGATTTCCAAGTACCAGTTTTCTGTACCAAGACAGTGGTGATCCAGTGAATTTCCAATTTTGGATAATAACCGAAACAGACTATTTAGAACAATGATAAATGTCTTACATATGTAATAGTGGAAATGGGATAACGCTACCTTAATCAGAAACTAACCCATCTGTGCTAGAATTAGCTAATCTTATTCTAAAAATGTAAATTTGTTTCCAATTAAAACGTCACTGAACAGAACAATAAAAGTCTAACCTGCAGGAACTGGCAGGGTTCGTCCGTCTCCAGGGCTGACACTAACACTCCTTGATTCACTTTCACTTCCGACAGCATTTCCTCCATTGAAAACAGGTTTACCTCCATACGTTCTAAAATATTATCCTCCTCCACCAACAGCAGTGCCTTTACCTCGTCCTCTTTGTCTCTCAGAAATTGGTGCATCTGCTCAAACTGCTCAGAAATCTGGTCTGACAGCGCCTTTGATTGCTCCTGCAATAAAAATAAATGAACATGTCCGTAATTTTGTGTATCTTTAGGCCGTTAAGTGCACTAGAGTAACTTATTTCACTCAGACACTTACTTATTTTCCCACCTACCCTTGTTCTTATAATCTCGTCAGCCTGGCTCTCAATCAACTCCACCAGTGTCTCGTTTTCACAGACCAAAATGTCAAACTTCTCAGCTGCCTTCAACTAAAAGATGTATTAGTATCAACAAGTGGGTTAGACAAGCACGACAAATGCTCACAAAATTTTATGAGATTTTTAATGTAATTTGTTTTAACCCATTAGACTGTTGTTTCATCACATATGCCTGTGCTTACAAAAGAACTCAAAACTTATAATGGAAGTCAATGAGCAGTTGCTGAATTCTGTTAGTAAATGTTAATGCAAAATACATATTTGTGGAGTACGCTTGCATGAATTCATCAGTCAAAGATATTTATGAATTGAGGTAAATCTGAATGATTTATTATTCATGGAAGATGCTAGTCTTCCAGGGGGATGAACCTCTCTCCATCACTATAACCGAGTAGCCAGACTTTATTGATGTAGCTCAAGGAAACAACTTGTGCTTTTGTGTTTTTACTGCTACTTTAAAGTAACTTTAATCGTGCCACAGTAGCTAGTGGTGTTGGCTAATTTAGCTGAAGCTGGGTGCATATTGCCAGGGATGGATCTCTGACAGAAGCCCTCATCCCAACGACTCCGTGGATGCTGAAAAGACAAACAAGGGGATGGCCATGGGGAATGGAACTGGGCGGTCTGGGCATCTACGATTGAATTCAACCTTAAGTAGAGGGTTTAATGTGTACCTGGCAGGAACCCATGATCTTTTCTCCGAACCATATCCCTCCCTATCCACCAAATGCTGGAACTGTGCCCCGTTCTGCCTAAATCTAGGAGACGGTTTTGGCAAATTCAGGAGCTCCAGCCACCATGACGGCAGGAAGTGGTGTATCCAGGCGTTCAGAATCGTCAGGGGCCCTGGCACCACAAGCCTCAGGAGAGAGACATGAAATGAGGGTGAAAAATGGAATTGTGAAAAAAAAGCTTTTGTCTCCTGATCGCTCTCCCCAGACTTTCTCACTGATTTGATCCATTCATCAGCAGCTGGAACCTCTTCACTACTCCTCATGTAGTTGAAGAGTGGAGGCTGGGGTTGATGGTAGATCTGGAAGGGTGTGAGGAGTGCATCAAAGAATTCTGGGCATTTTCAACCCAGGAAAGATACCCGTCTCCACAATAGCTGTGAAGGTACCAGCTGAGCACTTAATTCAACTTCTTCACCTGGATGATGTCCTAAAGTTAACCTGATGTTTAGCACTCCAGATCTCTTCCTTCCATATCTGAGTCCCTTGGTAAAATGCTATGTCCTCAGGCAGGTTCAAGCCATGAAACACATGGTGAGGGAGGGCCAGTCTGGAGACCAGTGGGCATACTTGGAAGTAGGATAAAACAGCAGGCTTAAGAGAACCGATCGATCTCAACCAGAATGGTGACAATACCTTTAGATATTGGGAGGTCTGTGACAAAGTCCACCGACAGATGTGTCCAGGGCTTTGATGGTGTGGAACCAGCTGGTAGTTGACGTGGCTGGTGAAGTGTGGGCTCAGGTGATCAGCCGAACTCTGAAGGCCTCTGGCACATATATATTCCTGCTGTGCTTGCCAGATGGTCAAGGAACTCCAGCAATAGCATCCTCAATCTCCTTGTTGATGTCCCAGAGGATTGGAGTGACCAATCAGGTGGACATCATTATGAGCTGTGTAAGAATTCAATCAAAGACAAAGGCCAACTCTCCACTCTCTTGCATTTTTTTTGCATGTCTATTTCCATGGGCTCAGGGGTTCCAGCTGGTGATGTAGTGGGTTTGCCAAAAGCGACATTACCTTAGGAAACTGTCCAGCCAGATAGCCAGGGAGATGAGCTGGTCATGGGTTAGGGAGTCAACATGGCCGACCAAATTGGCCTGGAGCTTCTCACAAATCCCCAGTGAAACAACATGATGTGGTCATTTCATCCACTTGCAGTGGCTAGCATGCTGAAAATAAAAGCATATTCTGGCACAGAGCAGTGTTTCCTCTAGACTTGGTACCCTCCCCATATGGCCTGAAAGATTGTGGCCCACTCTCAAGCTCTCCCTGTAAGTAAAAAGACTACAAAGGCAAATTTGGTGGTGTTACTAGAAAAGCTTGAATGATTATGAGTAATGCACATAAAACACTGTAACAAGCAGTGTGACTGCCATCATACTCATTTCAGAGTTGTGAGGAACAACTGTGCTCTAGTTGCAGTTGTTGATTAATCAACATCTGACTCAAACTTGCTAAGATAAACACATGGCAAACCCAGAGGCTAATATCTGAGCTTAAACATAAATGAGACAAAGGCAAGGCAAGCATGGCTGTGAGGAGGTGGTATTTAAAAAGTCAGGTGTCAGTATTTGGAGAGAGCTCATCAGTGAAAACTGACGAAAAGTTCAAAACTATAATAACGCTGATCCTTATAAACCTTGATGATAAGAAATACCCACCTACCTTTTACCTGTGTTCTGTAAAGCTTGTCCAGGCTTACATGAGTAGCAATGAAAGAACATAGAGTCTAGGGAATGGTTAAAGCCATTTGATATTTAGGAAAGTATAAGTGGTTAAATAGGTTGTATGTACCTTATTGGCCTGGAATGCCTCACTCAGATTTTTGAACCTGTGCCCCTGATGTCTTCGGTCCCCTCTGCAGGCCACACAGATGAGTTTGTGATCCGTCTCACAGAAAAGGCTGAATGTCTCGAAGTGGTTGGGACATTGGTCTGTAGAGGTCCAGTTTTGTCTCCTCAGGGTGGACATTGATGTTTCTCTGAGGGATTCCTGTTCCTCCAGATGGGCTCTGACAGCATCCACGATGTTCCTCAAAGTTCGATTGACCCTGACGTCCTCCCTCCTGAAGGGACTCCGGCACTCTGGACATCTGTTTTCATCGCCATTCACGGCCAAGTGACGGGTGATGCACACTCTACAGTAGGAGTGTTGGCATGGAAGACACACCGGATCCCTTAAATCATGCAAGCACACTCCACATTGAATGTGCATAGACAAGGAAGCCATTGGAGAAATGTAAGTATGCTTAATCCAAAATCAATTGATTAATTTGCTTTTCTTCTCTTTCTGCGCGGCTGTAGCCTCGAATTATCTCCAAACTCGACTCAACACCACTGAGCTGACTAAAGTGAAAGTATGAAGATTTCCACAGTCATGATTCAATCACAAACACTTGCACAACTTAGGAATTTTCTTTCCTTCCTTATGCATACTTTAAGCACATGGCAAGACCGGTTTTGTAAGTCGTTCTCAGAAAGACAAATAACTATTACTACGGTGTGAGGAACTTTGAGGACATGTGGCTGTGTTCCTGCCCCACCAGGCATGTTGCTGGCGGCCCCCCCTTACAGCATCCGCCATGTTCCTGAGCACCCCTTTGGAACGTAGGTCCCGCATGGTGTAAGGCCGGCGGCGTTCTGGACACAACCGGAGACCCCTGAAAGTGACTGCTAACACACTGCCTGCAGAAAGTGTGTTCACACAGCAGATTGACCAGGCCTACGAAATCTTACAAGCAAACAGAGCTCTGGATCTGCTTGGTCAGACAAAAATCTATTGTAGCTTTTCTTCTTAAGGTTTGTCCTTGCTCTGTTTGAAATCTTAAGTGGGTCACTATGGATAAATATAAATATAAATATAAATATAAAATGCTGAATGTAAAGTATTTATAATGGTAAAAAGTAGTTAGACCAAACTAATCTTAATGTTTGCTAGTTAGGCAAAAATACTGCGTGAAGAGACAGAGCCCTAGATTAGAGGTCTGCAGGGATTGATTTCATCCCTCTTTCACAGAAAACCTGCACCCATTGCTTGCTTCCGCCCACAATCCAAGTATTTTGTCCCCCTCCCACACACAGACCAGTATAACCAGTTTCCATCTGCGTTAGTCGTGGTTGAAAATCACTACTGTATGTCAGACTTTCCTTTATTTTGCTTTATTGTGGTGTGGTCAGCTTATTTAGAGCACTTTTCCCAGCTGCAGCTATCTGACTGTATGAAGGATCCACCATTTCTGGAGCCTACAAGAAAGCAATTCACATGATTGTTCACATGATAGGTTGCTTCTATTTAGACCTAGTTAAGAACGTTTATGTAGAATAAGTTTGGTTGTCATGCTGTTAGATATTATTTATATATGCCACTTATTAAGTGACAGTTGTCATTTATTTTGGCTATTCATTAATTTTTGGGATTTCTCCACACTCTTAAAGATGGTGCTCGAAAGGTTCTTTGGAAAATGAAGATAAAACCATTAACAACTAAAGAACCCATTGCATAATTAAAGGGTTCTTTGCATCATAAAAGCGTTCTTCAAATTGATGGAAAATGTGCATGAATGTGCTATAGATGGTTCTATATAGAACCATTTTGAGGTTCTTCTATTGTTACAAGCTTGACACTATAACAACAGAAGAACCCTTTGGAACCTTCAAAAAGGTTCTGTATAGAACCGTCTAAAGCACATTCTCCATGTGCTCCATGTGAAGAACAATTTCATTATGCAAACATTATGCAAACCTTTAATCATGCATTCTTTGTGTTCATATACATAGTACTGCACGTGACCCTGACTTTTAGACCTGTGCCACAAGATATCGTGGGTCTGCAGACCTCTATCCCAGAACAAGAATGCTGGAAAGGTTATCTCTAATTTAAATTGTAACCTGTTAGAACCCCAAACCAGCATCACAAATACATAAATTAGCCAGGTATAAATGTATATAATTTAGACAGCTTGTGGTCATTCTTATTAGTTAGCCTCTTATTTTACAGTACATCAGTTAGCAAGAAGGGGTCCCAAAAAATCCTGCTTAGGACCCCAAAAGGCTAGAGCTTTCCCTGTATCTAAATGTCTCTCGCCATTCACTGGCAGAGAAAGTGCATTCAGAGTCCCTTTGGTCCAGTTGCTGTCCTCCAGACAGCTGGCAGCAAATGTCCACACAAGGGGGATTTTCTGGGTGTGTTAGTCCAGGACTTGCCCAGAAATTTAAACTAGCATATGTTTTTCTCAGTATTCTAAATTTAACCCTTTAACCAGGTGGTTCAAGGTGCTGACAAACATCCCCCTCACCAAATTTGGCCAGTAATGAGTGGAAAGGCCCTCACAGTACTGTACAATGTAGTTCTACAAACAACGCTACAGGGAGTGGCCTATCAGCATTGCAGTTCTTTACAGTTACAGGAAACAGCACAGAGCTTGTCATCTTCTACATCAGATTTAATTACAGTGAGCTGGAAACCTACAACGTAATATGCTTTAGTAACTCTAACAACTTTCCGGTGTTAGCTCAAATGACAGAAAACAGCTTTGACTTTCTCTGAAATGCAGATCAGCAGGTGTCGGGATTGTCACAAGGAAATAAATTGCTCTGCGCACCTACTTTCTGTTTCACTCTCACTCTATAATTAACAATATATTCTAAATGTATTTATGAAATATATTTTTGCAATAAATTAAAGTGGCCAAAACATATATTTGGGTCATTCTACAGCAACGTCCACTTTTCCATATACCCATAGGAGTCACTGGTGTTACCAATCCTCATTGGCGTTACATATAAGAAAGGAAACACCAGAGACATTTTTGATAAAAAATGCATTTTACAAAATAACTGCTACACAGCATCAAACCACATGTTGTCAATCATGGAATATCCACTAAAATATGTAATTTAATCCATTTGTGTTCTATTTTTTCACAGTTAGAATAAAGTCGGTCACACCAGTGACTTCAGCTAAAAGCTTCATATGAAATCATGAGCTAAATGAGAAAATCTCTGATAACTAAGACACAGTGGACTCACCATGAGCTTTTCTTCATAGATCCTCAGAAAACAGGTAAAAGGAAGTCAAGTGATGTCATCGGTGTGACTTATTTCAAAATAAGAAATTTTTGTTATGCGGTAACACCAGTGACACGACTCCTGGGGACAACAACTTTCTTTATATCTTTTATAATATTTGGCTTTTGTTTTCTTTGTCATTTAATTGATATATTCAATAGTCATGTATAGATTATTGTAGTTAAAATAGCAGAAAAATGTTTTTTTTTTCTTCAAAATATGGCCTCAGCCTTCACACGTGACTGTGAGGATGAGCTCTTCTGTGGTGCTTGGAATTTGACAATTGATTTAAAAACCAACATTGCTAAATTCATGGCTGAAGAAGGTGTAATTGTTAAGAAAACGTATTGCTTTATTTTAAAATATTAATTGTAACCTTACCATGTTTTTTAAGTGTAATATATCTCTAAATGCTAGGGACACAAAAATGGACATTTCTGTAGAATGACCCATTTGTTAAATATATTTTTTTAAATGCATTTATTTGTATTTATTATACTTTTTCGATTGTTTGTAGTGTTAACAAAAGTTTAACTAAATATACATGAGCTGAATGAACGGTACTGACTTTACATTAACCGTGTACGTCTGCAGTAAGACACTCACACACAATGTACTTCAAATAAACAAGATATCAAATCATAACTGCATTTTCACAAAGTATCAATACCTGCAACACTTGCTTCTGTCATGTTAAAGGTTCATTTGATCATATTTAAAATGAAGATACTGGAATACAAATTCATTTCTAAAGGTATCAGACAGAGAAGCCCATTAGACAGGATTTCAGAAATTAGATGCATGTGTGTGTATATATATATATCACACATGCATCTATTTTAGCTGGATTTTAGCTCAGATTTCTCAGTGCATGTGAACTCTTACTCTGATTTCTTTCGGATTTCTCAGTCTGCGCATGTGCAAAAACAGACAGCAGTACTGGAAATAAGCGAGCAGCCTGACCAGAGCTCGGCCAAATGAAGGATTTGAATATTCTTCATCTTCTAGATGATGTATGTTCATATTTTCAGGTAAAGTGGTGCAATGTTGCAAAGCCACAGCATGAAGTTTGAGTTTTACGTTACGTTTACATCAAGCCTTAAGCGGAAATCTGATTACTGTCTGACTCATGTAGACCTGGAGTTTTCCCCGTTATCTGAATACTAAAGTGCATGTAAACGTGTTGATCGGATTACTGAGAATCTGATTTTCTGCAGTTATCAGATGTTTAATTGCATTTAAACGCACTCACAGACATGCTATCTGTGTGGCAGTGTGAACAACAAAAAACACACTGAATCGGACATTTTCAATTCCGGTTTAGGACACTTTCATATGTGGTATCGGAATCTGATTTGTATCTAATATGCGGCAATATGACTCAGTCTGAACAGCCAGATCAGAATTCATGCAACTTTTGCGTCAATCCAACTCAACATTCATCATAATTTCGCGCTGCCGAGAGGAAGGATGGACGACAGCAGTGATGGAGGATTTCAGTGGTGGGACAGGGCGGTAACAGACGTCAAACATTTGGGGTGACGTTTCAGTACAAACAATATTAGAAGGCGCTCACTAGATTTAGAAAGAAATGGCCGCAGGAGAACGTGGCTGTGGTGTCAAAGAAAAGTTAAAAGTCTGAACAGAAAGAACCCAAAGAGCCAAAGAAGTGTCCATGGCTGAATAACGTGACACAAATACACAAATTAGCCAGGTATAAATGTATATAATTTAGACAGCTTGTGGTCATTCTTATTAGTTAGCCTCTTATTTTACAGTACATCAGTTAGCAAGAAGGGGCCCCAAAAAATCCTGCTTAGGACCCCAAAAGGCTAGAGCTTTCCCTGCATCTAAATGTCTCTCGCCATTCACTGGCAGAGAAAGTGCATTCAGAATCCCTTCGGTCCAGTTGCTGTCCTCCAGACAGCTGGCAGCAAATGTCCACACAAGGGGGATTTTCTGGGTGTGTTAGTCCAGGACTTGCCCAGAAATTTAAACTAGCATATGTTTTTCTCAGTATTCTAAATTAAACCCTTTAACCAGGTGGTTCAAGGTGCTGACAAACATCCCCCTCACCAAATTTGGCCAGTAATGAGTGTGGAAAGGCCCTCACAGTACTGTACAATGTAGTTCTACAAACAACGCTACAGGGAGTGGCCTATCAGCATTGCAGTTCTTTACAGTTACAGGAAACAGCACAGAGCTTGTCATCTTCTACATCAGATTTAATTACAGTGAGCTGGAAACCTACAACGTAATATGCTTTAGTAACTCCAGCAACTTTCCGGTGTTAGCTCAAATGACAGAAAACAGCTTTGACTTTCTCTGAAATGCAGATCAGCAGGTGTCAGGATTGTCACAAGGAAATAAATTGCTCTGCGCACCTACTTTCTGTTTCCCTCTCACTCTATAATTAACAATATATTCTATGTATGTATTTATGAAATATATTTTTGCAATAAATTAAAATGGCCAAAACATATATTTGGGTCATTCTACAGCAACGTCCACTTTTCCATATACCCATAGGAGTCACTGGTGTTACCAATCCTCATTGGCGTTACATATAAGAAAGAAAACACCATTTTTGATAAAAAATGCATTTTACAAAATTTCTGCTACACAGCATCAAACCACATGTTGTCCATCATGGAATATCCACTAAAATATGGAATTTAATCCATTTATATTCTATTTTTTCCACAATTACCTCAGAATAAAGTCCTTTTACAGTGACCTTTTACAGTAA